AACATTGATGGTCCTCACCCTGAATGACTTCAGGGCTGCTTTTCTGCATCGGGTTTCACTGGCATATACATACAAAGCTGCAACACATTTTTTATTGATTTTACCCGCAGAGGGTGCTGCATAAAAATAGATTATTTAACAAAAAGTGAACAACAGCATCTTCTAGGGAATATATGTGCGGGAATCGTGAGTCAATTGTGCTTAAAGGTCACCTATTATGCAAAATCCACTTTTTTTGTAATACATAAATATGTGTCCCCTCACTTAAAGGTGGGGTAGGTAAGTTTGAGAAACCGGCTCGAGATACACTTTTTGTTATATTCCATGGAATTAACATCCCGATAGTAATGAATATCTTAAGTGCTTTGACAAAAAATCCATAAAAAAATGTCATCTGTGGAAGCCGTAGTACTGTAAAAAGCACGACCAATCATTTTAGCTTTCCCGGCTAAAATAACTGGATGGCCTACCTGCCTGTCAGCCTTCCATCTGTGCACAAACTTATCTCGTGCCCTCATTGGTCATGTGCGCGTTCGTGTGTGTTGGAGGAGGGGCTCTGTAAGGAAGTAGCAGATTTCTTCCGGCTGTGTATTTTCAAATGCTAGCGCACTCGAGCTGGTTTCTCCAAAATTACCTACCCCACCTTTAAGTGATTCAGAAAGTATCGGAAAAAAAGATTCTCTCTCTTTTTGTCCTGAGGCAAATGAGCTTATCAGATTTTGACCACTTTGTGATGTCACAATGTTTTTTGGGTTGGGCAACCATTAGCCAATAACCGACCAAGGTAACACCCGCCCACCTTATCACCTGAATATCCTCCTAGACCACCATTGTGTTTTATCCCCAAAAACCAAAGAATCTGGAAGAGGGGCGTGGCCAGCAGCAGCTCATTAGCATTTAAAGATACAGTCACAGAATCAGCACTTTTGAAACAGGGCTGAAACAGAGGGGTTGCTACAATGCATGATCTGTTTGGTATTTTAGCCAAACACTTCAGAGACATGTTCTGTATATATCTGAGACCTATAATATATTGTTTAAAAATAGTATAATGGGGACCTTTAAGTGTTTCAATTCTGCGCATGTGTTATTCTGCGCTCTTGTATGTTTTCTTTTAATGCCACCAACCTGCCAGAGACTGCAGATTACAATTAAACTCTATTGCGTAATCTGGCACGTTTACATGATGGACTCAAACGCTCATGTTAATTAATGTGCATTGTCCTTTCTTAAATTATTAAACACAAATACAAAATATAAAACTGCCAGGTTACCACACTATTTTAATAAAGATATCTACTTTACCAGTCTCTTTTAGTTAAACTATAGTGCGAAATATGGATGCTATACGTTCAAATAAAAGTGTTAATATTTAACATTTATGAGCACACTCAACTTTAAATGTCTATATGTATAAATGTACTGTATGTGTTACTGTCAGTGCATAATTTCAATGTAAAAAAAGGTGCACGTTGCAATAATGAATTGTTCTGCCTGTGCAGGAGAATTAACAAAGGAATCCCAGTGAGTATACTATCACTCTGATTAACACACACACACACACACACACACACACACACACACACACACACACACACACACACACACACACACACTTTACACTGCAAAGTCCTTCAAAATCTGCTCCATCTGAAAACATATCCAGTCCTTGCAAAATGTTATGAACTTGCGGCATGGTAGGGACACACATGTATTGTTTTATTGTTCTCACCTATTGGAGCGTCATTCTTCTTGTCTCGTTCACTGCAAAGTCCATACAAATCTGCTCCTTCTGAAATCATAACATAACCAGTCCTCTTGCTCTCGGTCGTGCACGCCTTGAGTTTTAAAACGTGTTGATCTGAATGCTGCTGTATTTTTCTGTGGGCTCACAAATATGTTATTCGATTTAATATTCATGTAAGTTTCAATTTCTAATAGCAACAGGAGCAGGGGTGGAGCTGATAAGATTAAGATAATTGAAAGTCGATGCAAAAAACTTGCTTTGATTCTTTTATAAAGACAGTTTTGTGAAAGTTATAGATCAAATGTATAAGTGTAACTTGTATTAAAGACTATGGCTGTGTCATTTGGAATCAAACTGTGATAGTAATTTAACTTTCTGTAAGTGCTACTACAAAATGATTGTTATGGACAGTTTGTTATGCTTGTTTCATGGCTCACATATTGACTAACACATGCAGTACACAGGGGCACAAAAGCACTCTGGATATATTTGCAGTAATCTGGATGAAAAACTCCAGATGGGGCGAGCACCAGTGACACAGCTCCTGACTCTCAGTTGCTTAGGTCGGAGACCTTTCTGGGTTCAGAGCAGAGGAGTGAAAAAACAACAACTAATATCCCAATACTGACGATCAAATAATCTGCAGGGCTGTCATCAGTATGGGGACATTCATTCTGCATGTAGAACACACACAAGATCATTTAAGAGATTTGGATATCTATTAAATCTATTATTTAAGTGTTTATAGACATGATATATTTGCAGTGTCTTTATAGTGTTCCAACTCACATGTCTATTACATAACAGGGCTCTTACTCCCCGGCCTCTAACGCCCCTGACAAATCCATGCACGCTTTGCTGCACATGAGCTATTTATATAGAGCACCCAAGACAGGGCTGGTCAAAAATACCACTCCAGTCAATTATTCATTGAGAAACATTCCAAAACAGAGCGGGGAGTGGGTTCGGCTGCACAGGAATACACCAAGGGGCTAACAATAAATAGCGCCCATTAGCAATGCAGCACCGCGCTTGTCCTCAGCGGTAACCAATCTGTGGGAAAAGGGCGGGAAATGTGGAGCTGAACATTTGCCCTCTCATGTGTTGTGCTTGTATTTATAGGAGTGTGTGCATACACTTCAGCGCCTCTGCAACCATCTTGTTCCCTTACAGGTTTCTAAAAATAGCAGGCTGCACCGTGTTTGTGCCATTTTTAGCTGTCGCAATTGAAGGGAAAAATAAATAAAAGGCAGCAGGGGAAAAAAGTGCTGTTTCACAAGGAAACTATGTGGGGGCATCTCTTCGTGGACACTCTGTTCCAGCTTTGTCCTGAGATGCACCAAGCTGCATCGGCACCATCATGTTCAATTGAACGGCTTTGAACTGCAAGGTTTTCATTTCATTCTAATGCATTGTTATGCTCTTTATAAAACAGGGTTATTGCTTCCGAACTACAAAGGTTCTTATGTTTTAAATTCATTTGATTCTGACTACAACTACAGATAGCAAACAAGCTAGTAGTTTAAGTCTGGATGTTTAAAAAAAAAGAAAATATATTGTCCTTTGTCAGAACATAAACGGCTGCATTGCTGCTTTTTAAAATCTGCACACAAATAAACTTGTTGGCCTTTTTTAAAACATATACATTAAACATAACATCTATTTTAAGCCTACAAATAGTTCACAACACCTCAGGAGCCCCAGGTGTAGAGGACTTTCAGCTAGGGTTGATTCTTCATGAACCTGCCATCACACTTGTTGGTTTGCTTTAATAATGTGCACATATTGCCAAGTCCCTCCTCACTGCAGTGCAACCAGAAGTCTTAAATGTTTTACTGTTCATATCATTATTTCAACATTGCCGTTGTCTATCAATACAACATGCATGGTGTGGATCCAAAGCTTTTATCAACTGGCTGAGGGTTAATTTATTTACACTAACTAGGTAGTTGGTCCCTGGTGTAGAGTAGAAAGTAGAACATGGATTTACAGAAATAAAATCCAATGGAATTATTAAGATTTCAGTGTGATTATAAAAAGCATTAGCAAGGCTCAGTGTATTATTTGCTGGACTAGAGATTATCTTTTTTTATTGATCTAAAAAGATCAGAGTTGTCTGAAGAAAGCAAATGTGAAACATAAATTAACATATTTTAGATTCCTCATGAGTTGTATTCAACATAAGCTGAATTGAAGTGTGACCAAATGTTCTGTATTTTTCAGTCAGATTATAATACTATTATAACCCAAAAATACCAGTCTATTCCAGGTCATGGTGAAAACCATTAAAGTGTAATCGTATTCTCTTCATTCAAATAAAATACATACAGTGAACACTTTTGGACGGTTTAATCAGTGATACATGGACTGATGATGTGGCTGTTTGCTGTTGTGAAAATGCTAAATACTCAAACTTTCTTTTTGAATGAAGCTGATATGAATTGCATTTTGAGCTATCATCAGAGGTGGGAGAAGTACTCAGATCTTGAGTAGTAGTACCAGAGTGTAGGAATACTCTGGTACAAGAAACGGTCCTGCATTCAAAATGATACTCAAGTAAAAGTACAAAAGTATTAGCATTAAAATATACTTAAAGCACCAAAAGTAAAAGTACACATTATGCAGATTGGTGCATTTCAGAATAATATATATTATGTTTTGCTTAAGATTATTGATGCATTAAAGTGTTATCATAGCTGGTAAAGTTGCAGCTAGTTTTAATGACGTTGTATGCTGCAGGGTAGCTTGTGATTTTACTCCAGGTGGAACTAAAGTCTGATTTAAGGGTTGATTATAATTCACATCATTCATCAAAATATGCAAAGTAACTAAAGGTAGAAAATAAATGTAGTGGAGTAAAAGTACACGATTTACCTCTGAATTGCAGTGGGGTAGAATTACAAAGTAGCATAACATTAGAATACTCGAGTGAAATATACAAGAACCTCAAAAATTGCACTTAAGTACAAAACTTGAGTAAATGTACTTAGTTACTTCCCACCTCTGGCTATAATACAGAAAGGGAGAGACAGTAGCAGTTGATAGGAGTGAAGAAATGTCAGACAGTGCCACCATTTGGCCGCTTTAAAAAATGTGAATTGAAATAGAAAAAGTCATGTTTATGACAAGTGTTCACATTAAGGATGGGAGTGTGGCTGTAAAGTGTTATTGGTGAAATGCTATAACTTCTACAATCTAATTTAACCACAAAACACTTTATTTCCCAGAGACAAAAGAAATTGACGCCGAGAAGTGAAGTAATGAAATCCACACACTGCCTTTAATACTGTACATTAAATACAGATTCCACTTTAGTTTTTTTATTGTAGATGGCCAATAGCAAATCCTTTGCTCTGCCTTATGAGTGCCAGAAGTCAGGAAGCAAAGCATAGCATGTTTCAGTTTCTCTCTTTTGTTTTTAAATGACCTTGGAACAAATCAAAGTTTGTAGGTCCCATATAAATAGGAATGATAATGAAATAAAAGTGCAAAAGAAAAACTGAGAATCCCTATCCATTTTATGAAACAGAAAAATTGAGGGCATATATCTTCCAACGCAAACCCCTTTAACCTCGGAGTCTAGAGGCACATTCCTAACCATCTCAGCGAAGAATGAAAAACATCTTCTCATTTGAAATGTCCAATTAAGGTACATTAAAACATGGCGCCATTTCAGGCACCCAATACCAAAATGCTTCAATATCTTTAAGCATGTAAACTGTCCAGCCAATTAGCACAGGATGAAACCAGAATATTTAAGAATTGAATGTAATTTGCAAACCGTATTTGATTTTATTTCCCTTTCATTTTTGCAAGTAAAGCAGACAATCATGACTTATTGATTGTTAGATAACAAGAGGTCCTGCATTCAGAAGTAGTGGGGCAAAGTTATCTACAGTTGTACTCAGTGACGTCTCGAAACCTAATTCTTTGGGGGGTTAGAACCCAGATTCCACTGGATATGAATATTGATACCTCACCTTTGACCACATGACGGTTTCTTACACTTGTGTGCAGCTTATGTGTGGTTTTCAGATGAGTGTGTGTCAGTGTGAGTGTTATTATCATGACTGCAGGGAGTCCTGTGATGAAGCGGTCTATGGCTGCCGGCGCTCCCTCTTGGTGAGCAGGTAACACTGAATGGTTCTCAGTCGATCTTTGGCAGGGGCGAACTCTGGCTGCAGCTTCAGAGTGGACTCGTACCAGCGCATCGCTTTCTCAAACTCCTCCTGAGGGCGAGAAACACAACAAACACGTCACCAGGGGAACACATGAACTGCATGGCTGCTTCATTAAAGGGCCATCTACTGTGACATGCTTTAATGTTCAAAAAGCTCTTTATCTGCCTGTGCTGCAGCACCTCTTTTCACCCTCCGTCTGAAACCAGAGCCCAGTCTGCTCTGATTGGTTAGCTCGCCGCCTCTGTTGTGATTGGTCAACCGCTTAGAGATGTCCTGCCCCTTAGCCTATCACGTAGAATGTGTTGGAGCATTATACTAGCCAATAGAAGCATGAGTGTTGCATATTAACGTCACTATGTCGTGGAAGTAAACAAAGGACTCAAATTGAGGCTTTTCAGGGGGTGAGCGTGTGGGAGAGAAACTCCCTCTGGAGGGATTATAACCTTTGCAGACCATTTACATGCACTAAAACTTAAATACCACACTACAGCATAATAGGGCCTCTTTAATATCTTGAATTGTCTTGCAGTGGTTACACTTGAGGAGCTGAGCAGAGGGTGACAAACAATGATCACATTGTGACAGATAAATGTGCTTGCAGCCATTACCATTGCTATGTAGACGTTGGCGAGGGTAAAGTGGTTCACGACAAAGTGTGGGGCGATTTCTACGGCCATGCGGGCGACTGTCAGAGCGTCGTCCCATAGCCGGGCATTCTGGAAGATGTTGGCCAGGCTGATGAGGGGCACGTCCTGGTTAAAAAAAAAAACAGCGTTATTACTTAATTATTTAAAACAATCCTTTGTAATCCTCACCAACAGTTGATGTGTAACTTGCCTTCATGTGGTGGGGGGCGTAGTTGAGGGCCTGTCGCAGGCAGTCGATGGCTTTCTTGCCTTGACCTTTGACCCTCCAGTACAGCGCAGCCATGCTGGATAACACCCATGATGTCTGGTTCTGCACTCAGGGATGAGGAGGAGGGATGAATGAGCAATTTCAATCCACAGTAATTATTTGATTGAGTGTGCTGGTAGGGTGTTACTAATGCTGGGTGTAAATTATGCACAGCAATGACACTTCCTTCAAATCCTTGCTTATCCTTTTTCCGCAACTGCACTGGTACTTTTTCTCAGATAACAAATAACATGCCTATTGCTTCTTTTATTTCAGAAAAAAACGTGTTTAACTTCTTTAGTGAAAGTGGCTTGGTACTGAGTATAGCAGGAACAAAATATGTATCTGTCATTTGCCTTTGCTGTGGACAATCAGTTGGTGTTCATGATGTCATAGCCTCCATTATTGAATAGTTTCTCTTTAACTGAGATGAGCGAGCGTTACCTTCTCCAGGACTTTAGCGATGCGTGTCCCCACCTGCTCAAAGGACTGAGGGGGGAACTTATCTTTGCCGAGGTTCTGCAGGACCTGCGGGTCGGGACAAGAAGAGACAAGTGAGGGCTTTAACAGAGAAGTGGGGCTGTGGGTATGACTAATAATTAATCATAGGTGAATGTACAAACATTTTGTAATGATTGACAGTCAGAGTTTCAACACTTTAGGACTGAGTTTGAGCATGCATCAGCTAGGGATGGGAATTTGAAGGCAAATTTATATTTGACTATTCGACTCAACTCATAATCGAATACCTGAATCATTTTGAATATTCAAATAATCATTCCCTTCCCTAGCATCAGCTTCCTTGGTAGCATGTGCTTTAACCAATAACTAGCTTAGGGTCTGATATAAACTATTGTATAACCTTCTGTGGTAACAAGCACACATTATAAAAATGATTCACGTAGTTTTATACAGGTTTTAAGCTTGTTATAATAAATGCTATACAAATTAAGAGACCACAGCAAAATGATCAGTTTCTCTGGTTTTACTATTTACCAGTATGTGTTTGAGTAAAATGCATTTATGTATTTTATTTTATAAAACTACTGACAACATTTCTCTGTGTGGGAATTCAACAGACACTGGAATGGAATGACTGCCATACATGTAGAGATTGAGATTTAAGAAACATGTGGAGTGGTCTACCTGTAGCATTGAAAATGAGAATATCAAATATTGAACTACACTGTTGATGGGACTCCATGCTGTTGAGGTAAAAAAAGAGGTAAGAGTATGCATGTTAATTCCTGTAATCCTCAGCCTACCTCCCGCAGCTGGCTCTCTCCGGTGTAGTGGATGGCGGCGCGGTTGGCCACCCCCGCCAGGTGGTCCAGGGTGTGCATGCTGGCAGCGAGGTTGGCGTTGCATAAAGGTTCAGCAGCTGGCTCCTGGAGCGGAGTGGCAAAGTCTATATGCTCTGTGATGCTGAAGAGACAGGGACAATCAGACATTAGACTTAAAGCTGCATTTACTGCATTTTGGCTCTTCATATCTTTCCTGTCAACCAAGAATATCACGAGGCAGCAATGTCCCCCCCCCCCCGGCCTTTGATTCCCCGTCCCTCTTATCTTTTCTAAACACTTTATTAATTTTCTATAAAAAGAGCTGTAATTTAATCACAACTTTCTACATGATTATTGTGTCTAAAAGAAAGAAGGCCGAGTCATTATCTTTTACTAATAATGCCCAAAAAATAATATTTAAACAAATATACATCTATATACATATCTTTAAAAATAATTGAGTATACACCTTAGTACTATTACTGCTCAAAGGTGAGATTTAAGAGGTGCTGGATTATTAGCACAATATTATCATGTGTATAATTAAGATGATATACTTATTACATTTTTTTAATATCATGGTTATGGTCTCTATACCGTTATGTTGCTATACTCCTATCGTAAAGGACACTTCACACAGTACTAACCTGTATTTTAAAGGTCCCATGTCATGGCCATTTCTACTGATCATAATTCCATTGTTGAGGTATACTAGAATAGATTTATATTGTGCAATTTTCCAAACTCACATTGGTTTCTCATACAGCATCTCTGTATAGTATGTGTATTCACTCTGTCCTAAACGGCTTGTTGGAGCTCCTGCCCCCCCCCTCCCTGTGAGCCCACTGTGCTGATTGGTCAGATCGCCCATTCTGTTCTGATGAGTCCACCGTTACAGCGGAACATCAGTGATTATGTGTTACAATGACGTTTGTTAGCAACCAGAGAATGACACCAGTAATGATAAACAGATGAGAATGCTGCGTGGGGTCTGGGTGCCGTGTTGGCAGGACGTTGCGGGGCTCGCTGCTCCGCCCTTTGAGGCTCGAGGAGCGGACAGTGTGAGCTGGGTTACTGCTGGTGTCATTTCCTGGTTGCTGCGTGGGGTCCGCGAGACAGCGAGACATCGCGAATGGACGCGGGAAGGGGGGTGGGGGGGGTGCTGAGGGGGCTGTACTAGCACCCGCACCCCCAAACGCGGCGCACCTAAAGTGTAAGCGTGCCACAGTTTCGCCGCTGCAAGGCTCCACTAGCACCACCCTCCCCACCCCCCCAGCGTGTCACAGTTTTGCCGCTGAGAGTGTGTGTGTGAGGAGCTCCACAGATTGGTCCATTTGGGTATGGGCACATCACTGTACCCAGGGAGACATTAATGGAAAAAGAGAAATCTCCAATGAGGCGTTCTGGGGCAGCATAGACAGGTCTTTTCTGTGTTAGAGTTTTACTCGCTACAGGGTGTACTTTGATGAGGGTTTGTGACTTTGCAGACCATTTACATGCATAAAGACCTTCATAACACACAAGGGGACGGGTAATAACCAGAAAAGCATGACATGGGACCTTTAATAGCTTTGCAGTTGTTCTTTGAGCAAAAAACTGACAGAAACATTAAAGCCGTTACTCCAAAAACTGACATGGTCAATATTACAGTACTAACTAAATTCACAGTTATATAACATGAGATGAGAATGTGAGCCGGATCAGGAGGACATTAAGAGTCTTACTCGATGTTCTTGGCAGAAACAGCTAGCCAGGTGCTAGCTACAGTGGTGAGGTCCACCCTGCGTGTCCGCTGGCACTCCTCGGGGCCCGGCCAGCCAAGACTTGTGTAGTCCCTCCAGCGGCCTGCACAAAAACACAGAAAACACAAAGACATCTCTCTTAGCTGGGTGAAGTCCAGCCCCCTGGTGCTTTCTCTGTGTTTATGCTGGAGTAAAAATAAATGGTACCTGAAGGGCCAGGCGATGGGATAGTTGGCCCGCTTATCTCCAAGACAGAGTGTCCTCCAGGCAGGGACTCCCCGTTCTGGCCTTCATCAGAGCTGGAGACCCCCTCTGTGCCATCCACCTTAGCCTTCCTCACCCGCTTTACCTGGAAGGTGATCTGAGGAACATAAGGCACGTTCAGTTTGGTTACACACACTTCAGTCACATGAGGGCTGGGCAATGTATTGATATTATATTGTGATATGAGACTACATATTGGCAAGTGGATTCAAAGGCTGCATTACAGTAAAGTGATGTCGTTTTTTGTGTATGACACTGTTCTAGCTATTTTAATATTTGGCTTTACTCACTTAGTCATTAAAACCTTATTACTGATGATTATTAAAACTCTCATAGTGTAAATATTTTGTAAAAGCACCAATGTTTAACCCTAAAATATCTTCACAATGTCGATATTGAGATCTTTGGTCAGAAATATTGTAATATTTGAACTTCTCTTAATTGCCCAGCCCTTAGGCACATCAGTCAATCCCACACACTTTAGTGGTGACTCAAACACAGGAATGTGCACTTACCCACTCAGCTCCCTCGTCATCCTCACAGTTCCCGAAGCACGGCCCACCACCGGCACGGGATCCCATGACACGGTCGTTCTTTAGCACCCGGATCCCTCGCAGGTCCCCCCGTTTGCCCCCAACATCAAGCGCTCCCTCAAAAGCCCCCATCAGGTCCTCCTTCAGCTGCCACTCCTCCTCCCCCTCCACCGCTCCACCACCAAATGGAGTGGCCATGTTAGCAGTTGCTGAGGCGGAGGGAGCATCCCTCTGCTGACCGGCTGCTTCACCCGACCCGTTACTGTCCAGGATCACCTCTGAGGAGAGGGGGGGGGGGGGGGAGGGGGGACAGGACGAGGAGCACTTAATATGTGGTTTGTGACAGAAACATTTCTCAGAGTTACAATTTAGTTTTGAGTGCAGCAAAGGAAGCCAACCGACATCTGAGAATGTGATATTACATTTTGTAACTGCTAGTCAATAGATAAAGACATATTTGACCAACACAGATCACATATCTTTGCCTTAAATGAGTGGGATCTGGTTAAAGACATTATTTAGAATTAAGGCTTTTAGGGAATTTATTGTTTTTCACACTCAACTAGTCAGAAAGTATGTAGTTAGAAACTAATAAAGGCCTTAGGACCAATGTTCTTTTATGAATCAACTTGTTTATCTTTGTTCAATTGTTTATGATCCCTTAAGCACTAAGCAATCACACTAACTTCTTCCAAGCTTTGAGAGAGACAAGGCCCACAGTCCCAGAGTTTGAAAACCTGTGCCTAATATCTAATCATTATTATTAAAACATATTGTGTGAAGAAGTAAATAGGACTGTTCATTTAGTTCGGATGCCGTATATATGTCTTAACTGTTTGATATTGCCACTGTAGGTGTCGGTAAATCATATTCTTACTCTCAAAGAGCAAGGAGTCCTCCATGGCAGAGAGGGGGGGGGCATCCTGCTTCTCCTCGTTGCCCTCCCACTCCTCCAGCTGAATGCCGAGCTCCTTTTCAGCCAAGCAGGCGGCGCCCTCTGCAGCAACACAAGGGAAGTTCATTTGAATAAAAGACAGGTGGCAAAATGTACTGTTGAACGTATTCTCAAACAGTGTTTCTGAAAATCAATAGATATTTTTGTTGCATTGTGTGCAACAAAATGTTTGGAATAAATCGAATATTCTGAAACTTCAACAATTTTCAACAATTCTAATGTGGTGAATAATGTGGTAATACTAACAACATTATTACAGACGAGTAAGCAAGGCAGTTTGGATGTTTACTTTGAATTAAAGGAACAAACTCACCTTTTTGTCTACACATGTGGCCTTTTTACTCTACTCAATGACCGATTTAGTGATTCAAACATGCTAGATCATTTACGTGTTTGGTTTACCTTTGGAACAATTCTCCCCTCAACAGAAAGTGATGCATTTTATATTCCGAGACACACCAACCGTGTTTGTTTTTCTTGGAACAAACAAATCAGTCCCTTCAGCTTCCTTTTCTCAACACTCTGGTGACTCCATTCACGGTCTCAATTTACTCTAGCAAAGCTTATATATTATTAAACTTGGAAACTCTGATTATTGCCAGAAGACATTAGATGCATTTACAAGGAAAAGCGAGAAGATAGTAATGTTGAAACACATGCAATTAATTACAACTTCTTACTTGTTGAATAAAGAATATAAGTGCCATTATTGTTGCAGTCCTAAATGGCTCTCCTTGTTGCACTGGTATGTTTTTCAGTAGTTTATCCACAGGGATTGATATAACCATAATGTTGGCTCTGAGGTGCTGTTTACACGAGAACGCAAACGGTTGTATCCGCTACTTTTCTCTCGCGTATAGCCCGTTCGTTCACACGCGGCCGTAACGGAAACGCGGAAACGGATCCCGCAAACGATAACGGGTCCCAAGGTGGAACGCTCTGGGGGGCCAAACGGCTCCGTGTGTACGTCCTATATGATAATTTCCTGATAACGATGAAGCCATAGCCCCGCCTCTGCTGCTCACTCCTGTAGCATGGTCAGTAGAGGAGAGTAGCTACTGCTACTGCTACTGACCATGCTACAGATGTTAGTGCAAAATCTACAGCTCCTCTACCACAACCATCAGCAACAAGTGGACATGGAGAACTACATGAACTACATGTTGCTAAATCCACCGCGGGGCATAAACAGAAGGGCAACCATGCTCGGGGGTCTTCTTCGCTGCTTTTGGTGTATTTTGTGGCGGGAGTACAGCGCCACTTACAGGCCCGGCATATGTACTACAGCGTCTCCAGCGCTCCCGAGCGGTCTCGTGTGAACGGAAGACTTTTTTGATATCGTATTCGGTTCGTTTGCGTTACGTATGTGTTTGCGTGTAAATGGGGTCTGAAGCTTTTAGCCATATTCAATCACAACGACTCAGGCATGGCGGTAAAATGTAGCAATGCAACAGGATCAAACGTGGGAGGAACAGCAACACATTTAACGTGAGAAATGTGTGTATTTTTTGTATATTTAAACCTTTGATCTAACTTGAGGTGGGAGTGTGTTGAGTGTGTCAGCGAGCAATAAGGGGGTAATATTTAGCTTTTGAGATAAAATAGACCCTTCTAAATTTGGCATTAGCTATTTTCTACTGTCTGAATTATTGAGTGGCAAAATGTCTCTACTATTTTCACATAACAAGTGCAACATGCTACTTGTTTCTCACAGCGTCTCTTGCAGCTTTAGATGACAACATTGGGGGGGTTTTGATTTTAAGACTGAAAAACTAGTGAAGCAAGTGCAATTTAAGCCCATGGCCTATTTCTATGCTCAATATTTAGATATAAATAATAGATTTACATGTTACAAGTTGTCAAATCAGTTAGAAGGGGTATATCATATTTAAACAATATGTGCAATATATATTTAAGCAATAGCTCACGACAGGCCGTGGTATATGCTCATTATATCACAGCTAAGGGGCGTGGTTCGGCCCGACGCGAAGCGGAGGGTCGACAACCCCCTTAACTGTGATATAATGAGCATATATCACGGCCTGAAGTGAGCTATTGCTTTTATAAAACGGTTACCAAGTGTGGCAATATGAAAGAAAAATACACACTCTAATTTAAATAGTTTTTATTAGTAAATAATGATGTTCAAAATAAAATAGTCCCTCTGTTGCCTTCTGCACGAAACATAGTGCGAGGTGGTTGCTATGCAACAACACTAACAACAGCTAGCAAACATATTAGACAGAGAGCGTTGATCCATTATTTGGCTATTTATTTACATTAATGTGTATGTTGCCGTTTATTGTGCACCCACTGAAAAACTGTCCAGCATCAGTAGCATGGCTTACGTGGTTACTTGTATAGGCTGAGGTTGTTCTAGGCTGTTGTTTGGCGTGGCGAGAATATTGCTCCACTTTCTCCGGTCCCCGAGATTCGGCTTCCAGTAGCTCTGGAGAGAGCTTTCGCACCTGTGGCCACTAACGGTCATAATTTCTCTGCTTTGTTTCAAGACCCGCATCAGAAAGCTTTTGAATGGTGATACTTTTCCAGTTGGTCTACCTGCTCTTCACGTCGCTCTACATGTCGTCGTTTAGGTGCTTTTTGTTCTGGAGATAGGCACTCCTCAATCCACTCCTCCATAGTAAGACCCACCTCCCCCGGAGGATCTTAAATGTTGTTGCGGACCTTTTTGATTACAGATTTGAAAACATCGTTGCTCGCTTTAAAAGTAGCACAATTCATTATGTCAAACCTTGGAAAGTATCTAAATATCCCTGCCCTAATGCCAAAGGAACTGCACACTGAATATGTTTTTGCCGTTTGATGTCTATGTCTGGACCGTTGCGTAAAAATGAGGGTTTCTGCCCCGTTACTTCTCCGCTGCTTTCTTGTTCCAGTTTGAAAAGCAAACTGCAGGCAGTTTGCTTTTCAGCCCAACTGTATACTGTTTATCTCAGACGCGGAGGGATACTGACTTGTTGTGAAAAGTAACTTACAATTCTACCCGTGGTATACGCTCAGTATACCACGGCTAAGAACCAATCAGATTGCTTGATTTTACTTGTCCGTTTTATATATATATATATATATATATATATATATATATGCCGTTAATAACTGTGCAATATATACCTGGCGGCTAAATCCTAAGAACTGTTAAAGGATGTGTATTTAGTAAATTGTGTAACTTTTTTTTAACTTTAATACTTTTGAATGCATGTAACATTAAGCCGCCTGTGGCTCTTTTTCTGCTGTAACAACGTACATTTCCCCTCTGTGGGACTAATAAAGGTATTCTGATTCGGATTCTAAACCGTTTTAAAATATATATTGCATGTTCTTGCATGTTGTCAGTATGGCAAGATTTACAAACAAAAAGGATTGTGATCATAAACTTCAAAATGCTTCAGCTTCTTGTCTGGCTTGAAGACATTGTTATAGTGCAATTGTTAGGCGTTTAAAAACCGCAAAATATGTCTCAAAATATGTCTCAAAGTGTCTTCATATCTTAAATCATATTACAGAAAAATGCTGATGTTTTGAAACAATGCAGTTGCCTACTCTTCATTTCATTTCAAACCTTTATTTATTCAGGTTGTATCCCATTGAGATCATTGACCTCTTTTTCAAGGGAGACCTGCTCAAGTAGGTTCCACATGAAACATTAAAAACATAAACAGAACAACAAAAGGACATCATACAGTAGCATTACAGGGATTACAAATTACATACTATCCACATGCACAGGTACCAACAGCTTCCGATTCAGTAGCATCCAACCGAGTTTTAAAAACATTGAGTGGCACCAGATTGCTCAGTTTCCATTTTAATTGCAGACTATTCCAGGACAGTGGAGCTGCGCATCTAAATGCTATCTTCCCTAAGACAGTCCTAGCAGTTGGCACATTTAATAAAACCACAGCATGCGATCTCAGGCAGTAGCCACTTACAATTCGCCGTGAGATCAGGGAGCAGATGTAGGATGGAAGTTTCCCTAACATGGCTTTATATATAAAAATGTACCAGTGACTGAGCCTCCGTACAGTTAGTGAAGGCAGACCAGCCCTTGCATACAGGGTACAGTGATGGGTTAATACTTTACAGTTTGTCACAAATCTCAGTGCACTGTGATACGCAGCATCTAACTTGACCAGGCAATTGGCAGGTGCATTCATATAAATCAGAGGTGCACTCTATCACCATACTTTAAAAAGAAGTACAATAATCAAGAGGAAAAGATCTGTGTGTGTTTGATTGACTCACGTGAGCAGGGCTGTCGATGTGAGAGGTTGTAGAGGAAGGGGTAGAACTGCAGACAGCGCAGCAGAGGAAGGCTGGCGCGACACTGTTCACAGCCAGCGAAGGAGGAGGAAGAGGAGGAGGAGGAAAGGGCCGTCACCAGGATGTGGCGGAACAAGGCCAGAGCGCCGGTCACATTGCCCTGAGCCAACTGAACACTCACCATGCTGATGAGGGTGTGGGGCTGCGATGGAAGCAAAACCAGACATGGGAACATTAGCTTTTGGGTAACATCGAGAAAACACACTTGAGCACACGTGTTGCTGCTCAAAAGATTTTGGGAGGCAGATTATCTGAACAGCAGTCCTATATCAATATATTATCTATACCTACTGCACTTGACCAGTTCCAGTTTTTACACAATGTAACTTCAGTACTCTTTTGGTTTGATATGTGGAGAATCTGCAAACCACAGGAGGACTAAATTCATATTTATGAAACTTGAATGACCTTGAGATGATATATTTTGAAACATGGCTCACTAATAAAGCTAGATGCCTAAAACAAAGGGTAAATTAAGTGGCAAAAAGAAAAATGTGCTGCGTCTGCTACATTTGGGCATAATGTGGCATTCAAATTATGCTCTATTAGTATTCAGGGGGACTCATTTTATTTTATTGCAGGTAATGATTTTGGACAATTTATACTTTTACTCATAAAAAGACTAAAATAAAAATAGTTAGAACAGTCCAAAATGAAGTATCCAACAATGCTTTAATTTAAATCTCTGAGTATAAATGCATTGCTGATTTTAAATCTCTGCATGATTGCCTGGTGATGTAACCAAGTTTTAAAGGTTATTTGGCCATCCTGATAAAAAAAATCACACAACACTAAAATTATGTTTTCTAGGTTTTATTCATACAAATATCAGTTAAAGTTGTATACTACGCTCAAACCATGTGACTGACTATCTGAAGAAACAGCATGTTTCTTTTTATAGTGGCAACAAATGCAAAGTAAATGTACCACCCTATGAGTGTGCAACTCCAAGATGGTAAAAACCAGCAGGTAATGAAGCGATGAGCCTTTACCTCCGATGCATTGATAGCCATGGCTTGCTCCAGCAGGGTTTGCGAGTGGGTGGTCAAGCCGTGATGTAGCAGCAGGTTAGCGGCGTTGGTGAGGGGGACGTGGCGGTGGGGGGGCGGGGCAGAGCTCAACACTTGGCGCAAGCACTGCAGGGCAAGGCTGCCGTTGCCTTTGGCGCGCCAGAATAGAGCCGCCTCACTGTGGGTCTGCCAGCAGGGGACAGTGGCCTATGTGTGCAAACAAACTTCTGTTAGCTCTGGAAAGGAATGACTATTGTGAGCAGAATGATTCTAGATACTTTTCCAGCATACTGACTCCAGTTCGAATAAAAGGGCAGAGTTGTCCGCAGCCGAGCCTGGCACATATTATAATGGACCAGTATTGGCCTAAATAAAGCTGATGAAAATCCGATCATTTCTTTAATGAACTCTTCGGTTACGTGTCCACTTCAGCCTGCTAGTGTAGCATCATTGCTCCCCTTCAGCTGGGGGAGCATTTCGCTCCATATGAAAGATGAAATAAGAGTGAGTAAAGGTTGAAAATGATTTGATTGCACCATTGATTGACTCTGTTCTGACCCCTCAGTCGGCTGAATTCAATGCAGTTAAATAAGGTGTTTCGTGTATCCAGATGGCCCTTTCTGTTTGGTTAGCTGGGAGATCTGGACACCGGTAACATAGGGGAGAAGTCGTACACTGTTAATCTGCACTAACTCCCCCCAGAAGTGTGAGACGCCCTCTTACTTGTTTCATAACGTGCGCTATTCTGGAGCCAATCTGCTCCAGCGTCCATCCTCCACTACGTAACTGCAGGATCTGTAAACACACACAGTGACATTAATGATTGGATATTCTTCTGAGGAGTTCCACATGCCATACACAACATCAAAATACAGAGTAGGGGTATAGAAGTTCTGTAAGCCTACTGCACATGGTATGAATCCATCTCTGTGTTCTCATATTCAGATCATGCACACACACACACACACACAAATAATGAGACAGTCAGATACCTGGGAGGCAGAGGGATCTGGGAGCTTCTTTTCTTCCAGAGGCCAGTCTATTGAAGCAGGCAGGAGGGCTGGGTATGGTTGGGGAACGGGACCACAGTTTGGCAGAGCTACCGTCAGAGGAGGACTGCTCCCATAGAGGAGAGTTGCCACTGGGCTGTGTATCAACAAACGAGGCATATTTAAGTGCGATGTTTTGATATGCAACTCTAAAAGCACATGCTGATTCTTTTCAGTATTACTGGATTTGGTGTGTGCTGCCCTTTTGAATATGATTAAGGAAAAACTTAACCAGCACAATCGTGGGATGTGCACTGACCTGAGGCCCTGTGTTTCAGGGGGAAGGTAGAAGGTTGGCAGCAGGTGAGCGGGGGGAACACTCGGGTACTCGTGAGCACAGTCGCTCCTCTGAGGCCACAGCATCCTCTGTATGTCCTAAACGAAAAAAGCAATTAGCTCTCAATCTCCAAAGCAATAGTGTGGTTGACTACCGTTTAAACTTTAAATTAAACTGACATTTATTTCAGTCTTTTAATATTTACACAAAGAATTTTGGGAGAACACAACAAAAACAAATTGAGTCCAAGCAAAACAGTTAAGTAGAAAACAGAGTCAAATCAGACAAATCTGACATTTCTCTACACTCCCTACTTTACGGACGCAAACATGCCATTCTGATCTCTATTTTTAATATGTGTCCACTAAATGACCATAGCTTTGTTATATTTAGTATGCAATTATTTACTCTATGTCAGCGGTCTTCAAAGTGTGAGGCGCGCCTCCCTGGGGGGGGGCGCCAGAGAGCTTCAGGGGAGGCGCAGTGTGAGAAAAATATTACGAGAAAAAGACGAGTAAAGTGTCACTTGCACACTTTTGGCTGTCTGTGGAGACCGAGTTCCCCCACCTCTCCAAAAAGTCTGTAAAAGCTCTCATTCCCTTCACCTCCACCCAGGGCCGGACTGGCCATCTGTGTATTCTGGAGAATCACAGAACGGCCGGTCGTCAGCGGGCCGTTGACGGCCGGCTCGGTGTGCTGACGGCCGGCACCGGCCTTTATTTTTTATGTTTTTAAACGGCATTATTTAAGTTGCGCTGACAGGCGACAGAGGTCCGTTCAGCGGGCCGTTTTCACACAGCGAGGCTCCCTCCCCCCCCGTTGACAGTTCACTAGCGTGCTCTACCAATTTGTGTGGGCTGGGCTGGGTGAGATTCCAGGGCTGATTTTTAGTCCAGCCCGCCCCTGCCTCCACCTACCTGTGTGAGTGCGGGTTTTCCACATTGACTTTGATCAAAAGCAAGTGCCGGTCAAGGCTGCAGCCAGAGGATGATCTGCGTTTATTCCTGTCTACATTGCATCCCCGCATCATCCTCCTGTGCGCATCGCAGACGCAGACTCATTGTTCCCGCTAAAGTAGGGGTGAGTGTAATAAGGAGGCAAAGTTGACGTTCAGTGTGTTGCCGGGAGCATATAAGGATTCATCCACGATGTTGAAAATGCTAAAGATGTTTTAACAATATGTTTAAAACATAAAGATAAAAAGGTTTTAAAAAGTTGTTGTTTTAAGGAGGTGACGCTACTCAGCCAATCAAATCGGTGCAGTCAGTGAGTCAGCACGATAGATTCAAACACACACATTTCAAATGGCGTGCTCAAAAAAGAGAAAGGTAGACAGCAAAAACAGAGCATTTAATGACATGTTCTCTTACTGGACCTCTTTGCAATGCTATTGAATACCCCTGCATTATAGCAATAACAACAATAATAATATCAATAATAATTGGGAGGGGGGGCGCAGCTGTTCTTATGTTCTCTGAGAGGAGGCTCACCTTCCCACACTTTGAAAACCCCTGCTCTATGTTATTGTCTGCTTTGAGCACTTAAATAAATGCAATTCATTATTAATATTATTATGTTAATCACTCTAATGATTTCTAATCCCCTGCAATTCTTCTTAAATATTTGTAAACTGACGCAAGACACAATGTGATCCAGCATTTTCACACATTCCCATTTCTGCATTTTGTTTGGTGGGCATTAGCATTGCAGAGGTATCATTTGTCCTTTTAGTTTGATTTGGCAGCATACTCCGCCTACCTTGGGGTGTAAAAGAAAAAAAATTCAAATAGAGACAAAAATCACAAGCTATTCTTGCCTGCGTGTAATCCAGACGGCTGCCCCAGAGAGCAGCGGCGGGGTCCTGGTCTCCGGACACGGAGGGATGGAGCTGGGGGCTGGCTGCCGTCTGGTTGGAGTTGCGCTCTGACACAAGCGCCACGCTGGATGCCACCGACACCTCCTCCCCAAACTATGAACAAAGAGAGAAACAGAAAGAACTCAGACACAGAAACTGAAGGAACATTTTCACAGGTAATGATGCAGTGTTTGTTAGCTTCCTTCAATTAATATCCACTGGAATAGTCCAGGGAGGAAACAGATTTTGTGTGTTATGGTCTTCCTTTAAAACTTGGCTACTAATCATCAAGTACATTGTCATAATGAAAAACTCACTTGAACAAAGCTGACATGCTCAAACAGATCGCCACGGTGATAGCGCACAGGCAGGTCAAAGGGGCAGTAGAGGCTGCGATGCTTATAACCCAGCCGACACATCTGATGGTTCCCTGGAGAACATACAACAAACAACATTCAGATGGTTCTTTACACTTCAGTCTCAACAATATACATTATTATCAAAGCTAACAAATATATTTAAACAAATTGCACAGAAGGCTTGCTAACGATTGCCTCCCATGAGTTGATACAGTCACATTGTTCTCTACTCAATTGACAATTCTGTTCTCTGAAGCCAATAGTAAAGCGTTACCTTTCTCCAAAATGATAAATGTAACTTCACTGCGGAGAACCTGTCAGTTCATTAAATGTATTTGTCATAATTACGAACATCTGCATTCTTTAATCACAGCAAGTCAACACATGTTTTTCTGTACAGCAAAAGTAATTAGCTTTTCTGCAGTGAGAAACTCTTCTATACAAAATCCAAAAGGTTATGTCTTGCACACATTAGGTGTTCTCAGTTCCATGTGCGTGGCATCTTACCAAGTTGGGCTTCTTTGGCCATCTGGGTCTCATGGATAATGTTGCGCAGGATCTGCTCTTCCTGCAGCAGCTTGTGTTTGTCCAGTGCCTCCTGCTGGCGGAGGTAGTGATCATGCTGCTTCTGGTACTCCTTCAGTTCATTCAGTGTCCGCTGCAGGGATCTAAAAATAAAAGTCAAAATGAAGAAGGGGAAGCAGGACAGGCAGAAATGCATAGCAGGGAACAAAACATTTGAAAATGATCATCCAACAACAAGAAGATCTATGTCGATCATCGGTATCTGCACCAAATCCACTCTGCATTCATGAGCAACTCTCTGCCAGCTCAGGGGACTTTCATATTTTGCAAGGAAAACTTCCCTAAATGAAGAAGTGTCTTGGTTTTACTTTTATCACTAAAAAACCCCCAGTAGTGATTAACATGCTAACATTTTCTAAAAAGTCCCTAGTAGTCTTAACTGCTAAGCAGCATAAAAGCTTGTTCACAAATAATTCAATTCAACATTTTCACTTTCAAGGAACTGAACTGATGAAAGAAAGAGGGACAATAAAGAACGTATTTTCAGATCTAACCCAAGATCAAACATACTGTTACAGTGGAAGTTGTTTTGATGGTGCTTCACAGATGTTTGAAAATGTCCATATACAGTATATTGTGTGTATGTACGAGTGGTTGCTTACCTGTGCTGGGCTTCCAGGCGCTGCTCCAGCTTTTGCTGACAGAGCACGGCATGTTTCCTCCTCAGGGCCTGCTCGAAGCCTGGCTGGGCCTGCAGAGCCTGCTCGTAACACAGCACTGAGTGGTTGTATTCCCCAAGCATCTGGTCAGACAGCAAGAGAAGAGGACACAAACACAAACATGGATAAGGCAGTGGTCAAACGCAGGTGATTTCAAGGTAAAGTCGTTAAAATATAGATATATAAATATTTGTATTTAGGGGTTTTGGATGGCAATATGCTGTACCTATACATTCAGTTAATATTATCTTCTATATGTAAAACAAATACAAAAAATAGCTGACTGCTGAATTCTGTCTTATTTGTGTAACGGGAACCCTGAAACTCACTAACGGCCTGTCCACACGGCGGCGTGTGTTGTCGCTTGCCGGCGGGGGGGGGCTGAAACTCGACCAACAACCAATCACATGAATCTCCCGCCCCGGACACACAAGCACGCGGTTTGATTGGCTAGAGCTTGTACTGTCATATGATTCGATTGGCTGACGCTTCCGCCGAAGCTTCAAAAGTTGAACATTGCTCAACTTTCGCGAGCAAATCTACGCTTCGCTCCCACAATGCAGTTCGGCGAAACGTGACGTCACCCCATTCAAAGTGAATGGGAAGAAGCGTTGAAGCTTCAACGCACGCCGCCGTGTGGACGGGCCGTAACAGATGGTAAGAAAGCAAAAATCCTTATCAATAAATGTGCCAACACATCACACTCCTGTGGGCCACTGTAGCAATAGCACAGGAATAAAAGCACAGGAATGAAAGCTAGACTACTTAGCTAAGACTCAATTTGTTTGATATTACATTTACATGATAGACTTCAAAAGTCAGCAGACTATCTTGTTTTGTGAGATTTTACTTTAACATTATGCAAAATATATGTAGCTTATGCAAGATGTGTAGTGACAGTGTGGAAGCAATAGCTGTGATTCTGACACCAAACTTAATGACTAAGTTAAAAGATTGTAAGGCTGTGGGTTAAATACACAAAATGTGTACTGCGGTCTAATCTTTTTTCCCTCCAACTTACAGCATAAATGTTGCCTAAGGTGTAGTGGCTGGTGAAGAGATCTGAGGTAAGGTCCAGGGCAGCGTGAGCAAGAATAGCAGCGTCAGCTGAGAAATGGGCGCGGTGCAGGATGTTGGCCATGTTGACTAGAGCTACATCCTTGTGCTCCCTGCAAGAACAATACACACACACACAGTATGGGAATATGAACACCTGTGAGTAGTTTGACACAATAAACTGTAAACTACTGCAGTGGCCTTCTGTCCTTTACCTTGGAGAGAAATGCAGAGCACGAACCACACAGTCCACTGCCCTCTGGGGCTCGTTCTTCATACGCCAGTAAAAAGACGCCATGTTGTAAAGCACCCAGGACGAGGAGTTCTGCAACACACAATCATTAAGATTAACATCACACACACAATTTCCACTGCTTCAAAAGGACTGACTGCTTATTGTAAGGTATCTATCTATGGCAGAGTTCCCGTTAGCCGGTAATTACTGGACTATGACCGGTAAAATATGCTGAAGACCGGCAAATCTAAATCTCTCCGGTCAAAATGTCCGGTCAAAATAATTTCCCCTTTAGCGCAATACCGCTTCAGTTGCGCCACTTATGTGACAGACAAGAAGAGTATGTGACAGACAAAAGAGTATGTGACAGACAAGAATAGTCAATTCTAATGTCTAACACTTAATGTGGAGAAAGAGATGTCCTGTATGGTTTGATTGTGCGTTGATCTGTTGGTAATGCCTCGGGGTTCCGGTGGGCATGTAAACAAATGCATAATGCTGCGCTATACTTTGTGGCCTCACCCGGTTGCATAGCAACGCTTATTGTTTAGGTGTCTTTTAATAAGCAGGTAGTCATATCATTAGCTAGAACTAGCTAGATCTGATCGATATGGACATAAACGCGAGTAAAGTCTAATCTGACGGGAAAGAGATCAGCTGCTGCTGACGAGTCGACACGCAGCTCTGCATGATCACCTGCAGCGGTGAGCGGAACAAAACACACACTTCAGGTTAGAATATCACACGTAGCTATTTTAATTACCTCTCAAACTACCTAAACTAGTTATAGATATATTTAGTTTTACTGTCGGGTCACTCATTACTGATCCGCGAGCTGCATGATACTGGCGGGCTGTCAGGAGAGGGGGAGAGCGCTCCGTGTTATTGTAAATTACTGTACACTTTTGAATAATGTAGTTAATCTACTATAATTAGTTTGTTTAATATCGAATCACATCAATTTGTTTTAAAGCTCAATAAATAACAAAGAAGACCTTTGACCGGCACTTTTCTACTTTTGTCCGGAAGATTTCAACTTTAACGGACATTTTGACCGGCGAAAAAATATTCTAACGGGAACTCTGATCTATGGAATCTTTGTTTTTCCCCAATAACAATTTGCTATATTGAACAACAGATTTTGGGGCCATGTCTGTTTGGAATGATTTGCTAGTCCTAACAATGACTATTGTTTTGGCCCCATTCAAATATTTTCTGAAACAACACGCATGTTCTGATAACCCTGACTGAGACAAAGAAAGATACATCTACAAGTATACAGAAAAACATGCACACAAATCCTAAAAATACATATCTTCTCCCCATTAGCATGTATGATGCATTGTCCAGGCTTTAACATTTTTAAATTGTTTAAATGTTCATAATCTAATGTGTTTTTTTCCTTCCCTTGCTCATTTAGTTGGAATGCTGTATCAGCATCTGTTATGCTACGCACAAAATTCTTTATTATTCCGCCGGGTTATTTTGCGCCTCTTCTTCTCCCACATTCCACATCGCAGAAACTCCGTTCAAACATCAAAATGTTCAGCTCGGTCGGGAATCGATGGCTATTACTTTTCTTATTCATAACTTTCATAATTCCAGAGATACATCCCATAATTCATCAAATTTTTAACTTCAGATTTTAGAGTGCGTGATGTCACAGCTAGAGGACAGATTTAATTTTGCCTTCATATTTTCTTTTAAACCTGCCATAATTCCCAAACCCTACATTCCTGAGACATAATTTTTCATGAGAAACATAGGAAAACATCTCGTAGCTTGAAAGATAAAATAAAATTAAGCAAAATAATTAAACAAAATGCCATGGAAACCTTTGATCTCTGGACACGTCGTTAGCTCAAATATAAACACCTGTGTCATGGAACACGATGATGTCATAACTCCAACTGACATGCTCAGAGCAGCAGACTTCAGATAATGGTTAATGGTCCTGCCCTCAACAGCTCTACGTCAATTATGGGGTGTCATCATATGCAGTTTCCATGGAAACCCATGGCGCATCCCTCGCCATGAAACACGATGTCGCTGTAACTCCAATGGACACGGTCCGATCGCCCCCAAACTTCGCTTGTATATCACCGGTCCATGTCTCAACAGCTCTACGCCAAATCTGAGATCTCAACATAGGCTGTTTCCATGGAAACGCATCCCTCGCCAAAAAACACGATGTTGTCGTCACTGATATGAAAATGGTCAAAACACCACCAGACTTCAGATGACAGTTAATGGTCCAGCCCTCAACATGTCTATGTGCCATTAGTGAGTTTTCCTCAAAAGCTGTTGCCATCCCTTGCAATAAAATACGATATTGCTATAACTCCTATGAAAATTGTCAAAAAGTGCTTAAATTTCACATGTGTGCTAACAGTCCAGCCGGGAAGACATCTACGGGACAGTTTTGAGATTTCTTCAAATGTCGTTGCCATGGCAACACAATGCTCGCCATGAAACACGGTTTTCTCATAACTTCAGTGAAAATGCTCCAAACAGCCCAAAACTTCACATGTTTGGTAACGATGCAGCCATCAACATATCTAAGCGTATTATGGGGTGTCATCAAATACTGTTGCCATGGCGACAGATCATTCACCATCAAGTTAGTTCAATAGTTTGCAGTTCAAATATTCTGCTGCTTTTCCAAGCTTTTTTACTTTCTTTTCTTCTCTTATCACATATTCAAGCCCCCAGTGTTCATGTATCATTTCAATCAAAATTCTTCACTTTCTTCTTACACATTACATTTCAGCATAGCAATTCAGCGTCAGCTTTTTAGCATAAAGCATTCCCACTAGCAATTTCTTCAGGAATTGCATTCTCTAGTTTCATACTAGTGTCCAATATCTCTGAAGGGGAGAACTAAGGCCCCGTCCACACGGAGACGATATCAGTTGTATCCGCTAACGTTCTGTATCGTATAGACGGTTCATCCACACAAAGCCGAAACGGAGCAGCGGATTCGGAGCCCGAATCCGAAAAACTTTGAAAACGGCTCCCAAAGTGGGTAAGTCTGGAGACGAAACACTTGCGGCTCCGTGTGTACGCCCTATACGATCAATTCCTGAAACGATGATGCAATAGCCCCGCCTCTCCTGCTCACCCCCGCGTCATTGCTGATGCGTTTCACCAACAACAACAACAATGGCGGAAAATCTACAGCTCCTCTACCACAACCATCAGCAACAATAATAATATAATAATAATTATAATAATAGTCATTGGTCTTATTCGCTGCTTTTGGTGTATTTTGTGGCAGAAGTACAGCGCCACTTACAGGCCCGGCATATGTACTACAGCGTCTCCAGTGTTTTCGAGCGTTTTCGTGTGAACAGAAGACTTTTTTTAAATCGACTTCGGTTCGAAATCGTTTTCTAAGTCCATGGTATTTGTATGGTTTAGTGAGTTAAAGCTGTGCAGGCAGACCTTACCTCCAGTAAGCCGTGATGGATGCGATGGCCCACATCATCCACACTGCGGCCCAGTTTATGAGACAATGAACTAAAAATGGGATCCTCCTTAGAAAGCAGTGGGGAGGTCAAGTTTGCCCTCTCCTGCACACCCTGGAACAGACACAAGGGAAGTGAGCTCAATATAAACATCTGATCAGTCACACAACAGTTTCATCATTGTGTTGTCCATAACAAGCAGAGCACCAAATATATCAACTGACAGAATGGCTTTCTGGAATTTTTAGAAAGTATTTTAGGTCTAGATAAACAGGAAACTTGAAATGTCTCTGCAGCCTTATTCAAATAAATATGATTTAATGGTGAGCACCCAGTGGACTTTTAATGTGAGGTAAGACAATATATGTGTGACTGAATGAAATAAGACAAAGCGATACAGGTTTGACACTATGACCATATTTAAGTATATAGTTTGTTTATTGTTACTTGCTCACAAAAACAACATTTTTACCCAAAAAGCCTATTTTTTTTTTAATGTAGTCCGACTTGAGCTCGACCTAAAGATACAATCAAGTTGTTTTCATGAGCCACAGACAAAGATAAAAATGATTTGCATATGTCCAGAGCAGAGACCATATCTATTGCTAAAATGACAACAGAATATAAATGAACCTATAAAGGACTTACATCATACCATATAAAGAACCTTATTAGTAAACTGCAACAAAGGCTTAGCTTTTTCTTCAGAAACACAGCCAGCTTCTCTCTGAGCTCTTTTTTTTTTTTTTTACTGGATTATTGGACTGTCAATTACTGACATGCAACATCCACTCAAGGCATTTAGCGTGCATTTGCAATTTTAGGGTCATTACTGAAGATAATTTCAATACTCACTAGTGCATTGTATTTGATAAGGGCGGATGGTCTTCCCTTTTTAAGAAACGTAATAAACTACAGTCATAAACCCGCAAAGGCCTTGTCAGAATATGGCAGTCTTATCTTCGGTGCACTTGATCTATGTCCAGGCCTAACTTGCTATAGTGACCAGCTGGTGCTTCAGTAACCCTGTACCACACTGCTGTTGCTGTTAGCAGATCACCGGTTAAAAATAAAAATATGCAAAGCCAACCAACAAATCAAAACACATTCAGGACCATGTTTGATTATCATCCCATATCTTACCTATGACTGATTTAACTGTGAACCAATTTTCTGGTTGCAATTTATTTTCTCCTGTATGCCTCTGTTCTTGCCTTAACGTAAATAATCTACCAGAGTAAACAGAGCGCTGCTGTAAAATGTCAGCTCGACAAAACCAAAGGTTAAATACACTCCCAACAGAATGCTAACATTTGATGAATAGAAATGGAAGAAATCTTCTTTTAAACAAACCTGAAGTGCATCCCCACCATTAAAAGAGGTTAAAGTTGACTTATTCTAACTAAACTTGGATCGGTTGGCCTCTACTCACCCTGAGATGCTGGAAAGCATGGATACTATATGGTAGTTCAAACACCGCACAGTCAGGCTTTTCTAGATCTGGGGGCAGAGCTGACAGAGAATCCACAAAATCTTCAGGGCTATAGGAGAGCAGAGAAATCTTTTTAGAACGACAATTTCATCACAATCATAGAGAGACACTGAACACACTTTTAATGATGCCCGAACCACTTTACAAAATACATTGTAGAGATAATAAGCAAGTCGGCAATTACCTGTTTTATTGAGGAGAGCTTACCTGATGTCTTTGCTTTCTAGGGAAATATAAGTGCCATCATAAAGGTCCAGGTCTCCCAGGGGAACCTTAGCCATGACACAGTCTGCATCCTCTTTGTAGTGTCTCTGTTCCAGCCCTGTGTCTCTATCCTCATTCTCTTCAATGTGAATTTTTTGCGCCACAAGCTGTTTCTGCTCATGAATAAACAAGCACAATCCATCAGAGGAATAGTAAGCAAATGAAATGGACACCTAACACAATAAATAATGGATATAAATAAATAAAGTAGTGATGGAAGGGAGTAATGTTCGAAATAAGAGAATGCTCTATTCCTCCCCACATAATTGAGATCAATGTTACCTCATTTATGCACAAATTAATCTGAATGCAATAAACAATTATGATAGAGGAATTACTCAGAACGAAAACTCAAAGAGGAACTCACTGAAAACATGTTTGCACATGAAACTGACAAAGTGAAAGCCACACTCACCTCCAGCTTCTTAAGGTAGTTAACACGAGTCTCTTGCCTCATGAAGATCACAACGTCTAGTGGATGCTTCAGATTCAAAGGTGAGTCAACCTGAAAACGAAAATAGTTTGGTAAGGCGGATCATATACTCACCATATTAATTCCCATGGCAAACAGGTTACCGAGTGGAATAATCCAGTCGATTGAAATGTTATTAGGCGACGTCGGAAATAGTCTATACATCTTTAATTCCTGATGCAACGTTACAAATCGCCAACTCAGCCCATTACAGCATTAACACGACCTTTCTTTCTGGATGAAGGTAGCTGGGTGACACTTGTCACCAAAACAATGCCTTATTCCTGGCATAATAAATACGCGGTTTACAACGCAGACGTTATCATGGGCCTGTAATATATTGGTAATTTTGACCTCAAACACCTAACGATAACGTCAGGTTTGAGGTAGCCAATGTAAGCTAACTGATTTAGCCAAACAGTATATTGTTAACGCTACCTCCTAACCCTATGTAACGTTACCGAGGCTGGCATACTGGTTTTGCTGAGTTTTAATAAACCACTAAATGTACGTTGACAAACCACATAACAAAACGTTACTGTTAATTCTAATAAATATAGCTTTACAAGCTAGCCACCTAACGTTCGCGTTAGCAGGTCAATGAGCTAGCGTTTACTGTCATACCTGTTGTTGTATTTTTCCATCCTCTGTGACAACCCAGTGGGTCGTAGCTCCTCCGGTGTCCACTTTAAGTATGCAAAGAAGGATAAAAAGCTTCCCCTGGAATGACGTTTTTCGCGAATAGCTTAAACGACAGGGCAAAGACTCAGGACAGATTTTCCTGACGTCCGCCATTTTTCTGTCTCATTTTGCTCTGTGGCAAAGGCGGGCAGCCTCCGGCCACCGGGCGGCGCTCCCGTTCACACCGGGCCAAAACTCAACAGGTTTACTTTGATGACGTCTGGAAAAGAAAACAGGAAACTCTGTAGAAACGAAAAGTGCGATACGTTTTCAAGGCAAAGGTGGGTAGAATTACATTAAAAAAATAATATCTGCTTTCACAAATAGTGGCAGTACCTGGACGCTGTTGATGCTAAAGAGGAGGCTTGTTTGCTGTATTTGGTCAGTACGTTTTCTTTGAATCGCTCTTTAGCGCAGTGATGTACAAACTTGCAGTTCCGCATCCATGGGCATGACTACCACATCAAGTGACAACATTGTTCATTGTGTTCAATTATGTAACTGCTATGATAAAGTGTGGAATCATCTCAGTGTTCGCTAAGGTGCCACTCGTTAAGTAAGGGCCTTGATGACTAACGACATATTTTAAACTGTACTTCCCAATATAGGTGCAGCTTCACCTGAGTTTAGCATGAGTTGACAACGCCAATGACTTGCTATTTAAATATATTCCTAGATATTTGAGCTGCACTGTATTTGGGTTGACAGTAGTATGTTTTTGGAATCTGTTGTATATGTATTCCCATAACACATTTCATTAATTAAAAATAAAAAAATGCATTAATTCATTAATCTCAAGGTAAAAATTCAGGATTCAAGATAATTGTCAGTTGATAGTTCAGGAAGTTGATGGTTAGTAGGGTAAGGTAAATCCTCAATAATCCTGTGTCCCTTTTCTGTTACATTAAACATTTCTGAGCTTTGTTCAGTACTTTTGTAGGATACCTTCAATGGTTGATGATGCAAAACATTGAATACTAACATAAAACACAAGGCTGTATTTATTTTACCATTTCAGGCCTTCATTTACCATTTCAGGCCTTCATTTACCATTTTTGTCTCACTCCACAGATGGCCTGCTTTGGAAGCAATAAGGGAAGTTTGGAGGAGGACAGCTATGATGGACCTGTTGGTGGAGAGCTGTCCGACTGTATGTTGGCAATGCTGGAAAAGGAGCGAGAATCCCTCCCCAGCCCATCAGAGAGCCCTGGCAGCAGCAGCATCTCTGCAAGTCTTCAGGCCGCTGCCCCCATCCAGGGCTATGATGTGGAGTTTGACCCACCCTTAGAGAGTAAATACGAGTGCCCTATCTGCCTCATGGCTTTAAGGAATGCCATTCAAACACCCTGTGGTCACCGTTTCTGCAAGAACTGCATTGAGAAGTCTATTCGGTATGCTATTATACAGCCTTCTAACAATAAATGTGCTCTAGGTACAGTGTGCCTAAAAAATGCTAAATGTTCACATTCCTGCATACATATTGAGCACAATGCAGAAGCTGGTATTCTTTGGGCTTTTACCTGAATTATACATGTTCTTCCTCTTGCAAAACAGTGATGCAGGACAGAGGTGCCCTGTGGACAATGCAAGACTGTCAGAAGACCAGTTGTTCCCGGATAACTTTGCCAAGCGGGAGATTCTGTCGCTAATGGTTCGCTGTCAAAACTCTGGCTGTGCTAACAGAATGGAGCTCCGACATTTGGAGGTGAGCATTATAAAGTAAAACAGGCATCATGGATTTCAAATGCAACCAAATACACGAAAAACAGATAACCTTAGTAAACAATTCAAGGAATTTACACAATTACTTTTGGTAGCATAGTTCACTTTGAATGATATGTACATCATTGTTATTACTTGGATCTGTTAAGTTGCTGTCTCATAACATGTTATAGTGATCACTTATGGTTCCATCCATCTCTAAAAAGAACTGCTTCAATCAAATATTGTAATAGAAAACTGGCAAGAAATAAGCTACTTCCCTTGTTTACACCTACATAGTCAGGACAGAAACTTCCTTCAGGCGTATTTGGCATCTACATAAATGATAGATGCCAAATAAGAACAGAATTCTTCTCTGGTGTGAACTATGTTATGTGAACCGCTGCTGTTTTACTACACAATAATATTAATTGCATTGTTTCAATGTATTTTTACTCCCAGAAACATTTGGCGAAGTGTGAGTTTGCCACAGTGCCCTGCCCGCAGTGCCAGCAGTCTGTGAGACAGAGCCAGATCGAGGAGCACACGACTGTGGAGTGCACAAGGAGGCCTGTGTCATGCCCAGATTGTCTGGCGTGCTTTGTTCACGAGGAGAGAGAGGTAATGTGGACTCACTTATCTATTTGCTCTCATTGGAAAGTTAACAGCTGCATTGTGAATCAGCGGGGATTAGTCTCCTTACAATCTGTTTTGGTTTGTCATCAGCTTCATGAGCAGCAGTGTCCCTTTGCCAGTGTGAAGTGCCAGTACTGTGAGATGGATCTCCTCAGAGACCAGGTGAGCAATACAATCACAAAATATGTTCAAACGTGGTGAATCAAAATATTAGTTGGCAATGTTAATTAAGTTGATTGGTTTTTTTGGAAGTTCCAAAAAACAACAAGAAAACGTATCTCTGATTCAATATTCACATAAATAAATCAGTTCTAAATACTTCAACATCGCTTGTTACGTTTCAAAAGGCATTGCATTCACTATTTGGGTAAATTGGGCAGCTTATACGTTCCCACTTTTATTGTTATGCATTTGATATAATATGAAATACCCATACATTTCTGCCCATCTCCGCTGCTACTGCACTGAAACTGTACTTTGAACACTTAAATTATATTATTAACATTTTAAACTGTATACCCCAGTTATCTAGGCCCTTTGTTTTCTTTAATGTATACCATGTTTATCTAGGCCCTTTTTGTTTTTTGTTTGATGTATATATGTCACACTGTAGGACTGCGGGAAACGATATTTCTATATTTCTGGATGTACAACATGTAGAATTATTGACAATAAAGCTGACTTTGACTTTGACTTTTGATACAATATGTAACTTAGTCAAGGGTCAACAGTTTAATGTTGAAAAGGGAACCCTTTTAAGGGAACTTATTTTATCAGCAACTTTGTTAAAACAATGGGGAACCGTTATATCTCACACAGGCTCCGCCCTCTACTGGACTCTATGGTACTACTCTCTATCATGCTGTGCGTGCTTTCACCTACTGAATTTACGTAAACGTAGCCGGCCAATCGGGGCGAGCCTACCTGAATGCGCGCGCAGGCCCACAGTATATAAGGCGGCTACACCCGCCGCCCCACTATCCTTTTTCTCTTCAGACGAGCTGACAACCGAAGAGTTAAACGTACGAAGATTAGAAGATTAGAAGAAACGAAAAATGGACTCACCATTACTGGAATCTCGGCCATGCCCCACCTGCCTTGGTTTGATCGCGGGCACCGATCTCCACCACCTCTGTTATGGCGCAGTTCCACTACAGCGCGGAGCTCGCTTTAAGCGTGCCGTGTCGTGCCGTACCCGTTTTTGGTTGCGCTTCCACTAGGCCTAGTTACGGCCCGGCCCGGCCCGGCCCGGGGCCACTTTTTCACCTCTTTTCTGGCCCGACAAAATTGTGGTTCTATCGGGGCCAACAAACAGGGCTGAGTCGGGCTGAGTATGCTAAACTAGAGAGAGGAGCGCTGGCAAGAGGGCTCCAACTACAACAAGATGGACATATTTGACCGTGATTTAATTGTAATACACGTTTCAAAATGATGCCGAAGTAACAACATACTGATACCGGTTAGTAAAAACCATGAATTAATGCTTTGTCAAGTCTGCAGACAGACGGCAGGCGAAAAACCTTTTAAAATTCGTGTTTTTCTAGATGGAGATTGGCTAAGCTAACGCAGTATATGCCCCGACCGTCCACACTCACAACAACGGCCTATACAGACATAAATATAGCAGCGACTGTATTCACCATGACACAGGCAGTCTGTGGTGTGTACTTGTTTAACTTTTGTCGAGTTTCTGAACATATATAAGGAGCTGTGAGCTCTGAGTGCTAACAGCTAACGGCTGTGTTGTGTTTTCTGGAGTTCTCATTGAAGATGACGTCACGGCTCCGCCTACACTGCGTTACTATAGTAACTACCCCAGTTCCTAAACTGTAATGGAAGCGCAGCATGAAGTGAGTCGGCCCTGTTAAGGCCCAACGCGGCCAAGCCGTACCGAGCCGTACCGAGCGTGGCCGAGGCCGACCGTGTAGTGGAAATGCGGCATTAGAGTGTTTGGGGGACCAGGATATGGCCGAGGCGGTGCCATTCACGTTCGCCATTCCAGCGGGGCGGATGGCTCCGTTTGCCGTTGTCGGGCATTTCCGGGTTCGGTCCATGGAGATCCACCGCCCTAGGTGATGACCATGGCGGCGGAGCGCAGCTGCTCCCAGCGGTAACCCTAGTAACCCTAGTTCTAGAGTGATGTGTGTGTGAAAAATGCATTTAGTAAAAACGATTGCATTTATCCCAGAGTTAGTCATATCTCTCCACAATTCCAAATTTTCCCATAATGTCTCGTTGAGATCGGCAAGGCCGTTTTCATACGATGTTAATTGGACACCCATTATGAGGCGCGGCCCCCGTGAGAGTGGCCGCGGTGCATTCAGGGACCTCCGCAGAAGAACAGTGGGTTACGTAGTGTAACTCTAGTTCTAGAGTGATATGTGTGTGTAAAATGCATTCAGTAAAAACGATTGCATTTATCCCAGAGTAAGAGTCATCTCTCTCCACATTCCACATTTTCCACATTTCCCCATAATGTCCGTTTCAAGAGACAGCATTATGACTACGCGCCCCCCCCCCCCCCGAGAGCGGGCCGCGGTGCGTTCATGGACAGAAGAAGCTCCGATTAATGCTTATTTCTCTCTAAGAGAAAACAGCATTATGGTGGAGCGCGCGCTCTCACGGGAGCATGCCGTGGTGCGTTCAGGGACCTCAGTTAAAAATCGGCCGTTTTTTTCTCTGAGTGGAAACTACTTATAGAAAAACGGCCCTTTCTGTGTCAGCCCCTCATGGGTCAAACTTCCTTTTATGGAGAGTTTGACGGCGGAGTGGGCCACCAGAGAGTACCACCGCTTCATAGCTGCGGCTCCGCAGCTGATTGCACATCCCCTAACACAATGTTATGGGGAATGGAAAATCAGTGGTGTATTAACAGAGCGCATGGACAGGACACTGAGACTGGGTTATTCACTCCAGTTTTGCAGCATCCCTCCTCCGTTCAGAGGCAGGAGAGAGGCACATCTGTCATCCCAGGAGGAGGTTTCCTCTCAGCATGTGCACTCTCAAGTCAGAGAGAAGGGGCACTATTCCCTGTACTTCCTGGTTCCCAAGAAGACAGGAGAATTCAGGCCCATTCTGGATCTTCAATGCCTGAACCAGCACATTGCATGCAAGAAGTTCCATATGTTAACTATGAAACAGTTACTGAGACTGGTGCAGCCAGGCGATGGGTTCACAGCCATCGACCTGAAGAACGCTTACTTTCATGGCGAAATTGCTCCAAGAGCACAGAAAGTATTTGCGTTTTGCCTTCCAGGGGGTAGCCTACGAGTACAACAGACTGCCGTTCGGCTACTCCCTATCCCCACGCACGTTCAGCCACGACGCTGCAACCGCTGCGGGACCATGGCATGAGGGACGACCTCATAGTTATGGCCAGGTCCAGGGAATGGGCAATACTGCACACAGCCCAATTGATCCTACACCTAACCAAGTTGGGTTGAAAAAGAAGTTGCGGTCAATTGGAAGAAGAGCTCCCCCATACCTCACCAGCAGGTAGAATATCTGGGGGTGATGCTCGATGCAGGCAGACTACGTGTCACCCTGACAGAAAGCAGACAGGCATCCCTGCTGCGGGCAGTCTGCAGGCTGCGTCAGGGGGCGACGGTGACAGCTTTGATCAGCATTCAGACTTTGGGTCTCATGACGGCTGCTCACTCCGTAGTGCCACTCGGACTGCTGCATGCACGTCGCATGCAGAGGTGGTTTACCGGCCTTCGTTTAGATCTTAAGACACAAACGACGTCTGGTGGCCACCCCCCCCTCAGTAGAGAGCAACCTCCGATTCTGGGGGTCCCCAGAGAATCTGCGGAGGGGAGCTCCACTGGGGCAGGTAACCTCCTATATCACAGTCTTCACAGACGCTTCAAAGAAAAAGAAAGTGACAGGATGTGGGGGGGACGTGTCTAGAAAGGGCTGTGGGTGGTTGCTGGCCTCTGACGGCACAGCAACCTCCTGGAGCTGCAAGCAGTGATGTTGGTCCTACAGCACTGCAAACCCTTAATACAGGGCAAACATGTGCTAGTAAGGAGTGACAACCGCACCACAGTGGCGTACATCAACAGGCAGGGCGGAGTCCGCTCAATAGCCTGGTTGACCGCAGCAGAGAACCTGTGGCTGTGGGTTTCACAGATTGTGTTGTCTCTAAGGGCCCTGCACATCCCAGGACGGGAGAACAGGGGGGCCGACCTCATGTCAAGAGGCGGACCCCTGCCAGACGAGTGGAGGCTTCACCCGGAGGTGGTGAAGCAGGTCTGGACTCAGTTTGGTAGAGCAGAGGTGGACCTGTTCGCCAATCGGCGCAACAGCCACTGTGCCCTGTGGTTCTCCCTGGCTCGGTGGGACAACCCGCCCTTGGGGGTCGACACATTTGCACACGAGCCATGGCCAAGAAAGCTGCTTTACGCCTTTCCACCGCTGCACCTTATCCCCCCCCTCCTGGAGAGGGTGAGGCGGGAACAGCTGTCAATCATCGTGGTGGCCCCAGATCGCCGCCTGGCGCCGTGGTAACGCGGGGGTAACACAGATGATGGTGGGCCAGCCCTGGGTGATTCCTCAGGTCTGGGGAGCGCTGTCTCAGGAAGCAGGTGCAATAGGGGCGTTACCCACTCTGGGCCAACCTCTCCAGGCTTGGCTCCTGAGAGGGACAGGCTGAGACAGGTGGGGCTGTCTGATAACGTTATTCAGACTATCCAAGCAGCAAGAGCAGAATCCACCACAGCTTGTTACAGGCCAAAGTGGGAGGGATTCCGGCGATGGTGTGAAGGAAGGAGTCTAGAGCCTCTGTCGTGCACGCTGGGCTCTATTCTTACCTACTTACAGATACTGGTGGACAGGGGGCTGGCTCATTCTACAATTAAGGTGTATGCAGCAGCCATTTCATCCTGCCATGAGGGATTTGGAGGCAGGTCAGCCTTCAGTCAGCCTCTTATGGCGCGGTTTTTGCAGGGGGTCAGGAGGCAGTGCCCAGTAGTGCACGCCTCCACCCCGCAGTGGGACCTGCCGTTGGTGCTCGAGGCTCTGGTCACAGAACCATTTGAGCCTCTGGAGCTCTCCTCCCTGAAAGCAATGTCATGGAAGACCGCATTGCTACTTGCCTTGACTTCGGCTAAAAGAGTGTCCGAGCTGACCGCTCTGTCGGTACACCCAAGTTGTCTTTTGATCCGGGGTGACCGTAGCGGGGCGACACTCAGGCCGAACCCCTCCTTTACTCCTAAGAGTATCAGAAGTTCATTCAGATCAAGGGCTATTCAGTTAGGTGGCTTTCATCTTCCACCCCATATTGGGGCCAGGGAGGCTAAATTGCACCTCCTCTGCCCAGTGCGTGCGCTAGCATGCTATGTAGAGCGCACGGCTGCCATTAGGCGCACTGAACAACTGTTTGTGTGCTTTGGGGATGGTGTGGCTGGAAAAGCCCTCTCAAAGAAGCGCCTAACAGGATGGCTATGCAGGTGCATTACACATGTCTATGGACGGGTGGGGAGAGCCCTCCCCACTGGGGTCCGTGCACATTCTACACGGGCTGTGGCTGTGTCAACAGCCTTATTCAGCGGCGTGAGTGTAGAAGATATATGCACGTCGGCGTCTTGGTCTACGCCAGGCCCCTTCATAAAATGTTATCTCCTGGACATGTCTGGCTCCTTCTCGTCGTCGGTGCTTGCCGAGGCAACGCATGACTGGTGAGAGTGGGGTGGCTGTGGGTCAGCAGGTATCTGACCCCCCCCCCCTGGACATAAAGCACTTGTGTTTTTCCCATGCTCCTGAGGGACTCGGGAGACATGGTGCGCAATCAGCCCCATACAGGGCTGGTGGACTCTCCCCGCCTGCCCATAGGCAGGCGGGGAGAGCCTTCCTCACTATTGTCCATGCCCACTCTACACGGAGCGTGTGTGAGTGTGGGGGATGTGGTGCACTTATGTTTTCCCGTGCTCCTGAGGGACCTGGGGAACATGGTGCGCGGTAGGCTCCAGACGGAGTCTCCGCACAGTTTTTTTCCATGCACACTCTACACGAGGTAAGCGTGTGTGAGTGTGCCTTATCCAAGTTGCGGCCCCGACTTCTCCACGGTTACAACCGGGTGGGAGGAAGTGGGGATGCAGTGGATGTTAGCCAAAAGCCGGTCAGGGACGGTGTGGTGGGTCGATGTTGTTGGACGACAGGGCGTTTATACATCGGGGCTCCGCCCACTGTACCCATAGAGTCCAGTAGAGGGCGGAGCCTGTGTGAGATATAACGGGGGGTTACGTATTGTAACCCTAGTTATATAAACACAGGCGGAGCCCTGTCTTTCCTAGTCCGCTCGCTGAAGAGTGTATAGGATAGTGGGGCGGCGGGTGTAGCTGCCTTATATACTGTGGGCCTGCGCGCGCATTCAGGTAGGCTCGCCCCGATTGGCCGGCTACATTTACGTAAATTCAGTAGGTGAAAGCACGCACAGCATGATAGAGAGTAGTACCCATAGAGTCCAGTAGAGGGCTCCGCCTGTGTTTATATAACTAGGGTTACAATACGTAACCCCCCATTACACACCTAGTCACTTTGAATGGCACAGCTGATGTGGGCTTCCACCAGTTTCCACAGCAAGTGCCATTGATGATATGTAAATGTTTTTCTGTTTAAGACAGGAAATGTGTCTTGTCTATCACTTTCGCCACAAATATGCTATGATAATAATATAATATATATTGATAACTGACTTGTTGGAATCCTGATTTGAATAAATAGATCTAAATGAAGCTAAACTGATGATGTTTTTGTTTCAGATTGAATCTCATTGTGATGCAGATTGCCCGAAAGCACCCATCGCCTGTAACTTTAGCACCTTTGGATGTAAGGAAAGGGTATGTAATCAAGTTCAAGTCGTATACTTACGTTGAAAAAAATCTTTGTTCTTAGTCCCAGATGTCACAAAGACAAATGTTTTGCCTGTGCAGATGCAGCGACACAACCTGGCTCAGCACATGCAGGAGTTCACTCAGATGCACATGCGCTACATGGCCGAGTTCCTGCGTGGCCTCAGCCTCAATGGCACCACACCCAAATCCCTGTGGACGCTAGGACCATCTGTTTCCTCCGAGGATCCGGCAGCAGGAGCCGCAGCAGCAGCCTCAGCCTGCAGCGGGCCCCGAGGAGCCGCAAGCTGCAGCAGCAACTTTGGCCCCAGTCCGCCTACTGAGGAGGTCCAGAAGCTCAGGGACTTGGATGGACGATTGGTAAGGCAGGATCACCGGCTGCGGGAGCTCGTCATCTTTAAAGAAACACAGGTAAATGATGTCCTCGGGCCTTGACAGTGTTTTTGTAAGTGTTTTTAGCATAATCTAATCTAAGAGATTTTTAACTGATTGTGTCTGCACAGGAGTGAGCTGAGCCACAAACATCTGATGGAACAAACTTACTTAAAAAAAAAAAATCCATTGAGCTGTCAACACAGACACTCATGCTGCCATTTGCGCTGTACCCTAGTAAAGATGACCGAGACATGTTTTTTTTTGCTATGCTTTAGTTTTACATGCATAAATACAGTGATTGTGAGATGGAACCCCAACACAGGTGTCCTACACTCATTGTTGTGTCTAAATGCACCCTTTGTGGACGCAGATGGAGCACTGGAGCTGATATTGCTGCTCTGCTAACATCTCATGCAAAAGCTCCTTTTTTTTAAGCCTTATCCGATTTGGATTTGAATAATAATTAATAATAATACATGACATTTATATAGCGCTTTTCCTAGTGCTCAAAGCGCTTTACAAGCAAGTAAAACAAAATAACAACAAAAGTAAAAAGTGCTAAGCTAGGTGGAATAAGGGCGAGGGGTTAGTGGATTAGGAGTTGAAGGCAAGAGTGAAAAGGTGATTGTTTGAATGATGTGAGAGTGTTGGCAGATCTGACATAAACTATTGTTCCCTCTCTTTTGCAGTCCGATCACATTGCAGAGCTCAGGCGCAGAGTGTTGTCGCTGGAGGAGACGGTGAAGGAGCTGGAATCGCAGCAGTGTCACGGTATCTTCATCTGGCGCCTTAGAGGTTTCTCCGCCCTCCTGCGGAACCAAGAAGCAGGCCTGCCCGTGGTGGAGCACAGCCCCGGCTTCTACACCGGTCGCCCCGGCTACAAATTGTGCCTGCGCCTACACCTGCAGGCCCCGAACGCCCCGCGCTGCTCCAGCTACATCTCCCTCTTCGTCCACACCATGCAAGGAGCTTTTGACGGGCAGCTGACGTGGCCGTTCCAGGGAACCATCCGCCTCACCATCCTGGACCAGGGCCCAGAGGGTCAGCACCACATGGAGGTGATGGAGACTAAACCTGACCTGCAAGCCTTCCAGAAGCCCACCATCCAGCGCAACCCCAAAGGATTCGGCTACGTCACCTTCCTGCACCTGCATCAGCTGAGTCAGAGAGCCTATGTTAAAGATGACACTCTGCTCATCCGCTGTGAGGTCACACCGCGTTTTGACAATGTGATTCACCGCGAGGGCCCAGCGGTGCAGCCTAGAGGACCAGAGGCCACAATTTCGAGAGACTAAAACCTAAAACTTTAGTTTGGATATCAGCGAGGTAGTTCTGCCAGTGTTTGAATACCACTTAATTCATATGAATTAATGCACATTAGGATGAGGTAATTGTATGTTCACACACATTTAAATGTTGGACTATGCAAGTATTTATTTGTTTCCCAACTTTCAAATGTCAGTGTGTTTTTTTTATTTGTTTGTTCACATTTTTTTAAAGTACAATCCTTTTATTTTACATTTGAAATGAATGTTCTCACCCACAAGGTACCCACAGTCAGCACACCTCATAAGTACAAGTTTTGTAAATAGGCAATTATGTAAATCAGCTCAGAATGGCCATCCGCTCTTGTTGTAGCTGTTGGGAAAAGCACTGAATGTTGAAGATCTCCCCGTGGAGCTTTTGACCCGGCGGGCACTATAGATCATTTTATTCTATCCACCATCTTCTAGTAGGAGACACACAGATTCACATGTATGCACGAGGACATGTGGATGATGAGACAGACATTCGTAATGACTGCAGAGGGTGGTGACAAAAATAAGTTGTCCCCACAAGCCATTAAAAAATATAGATGTTGTTGTAGTGACCACAGTTGCCCTCACCAAATTATTATTATTTAAAAAAATTATTAAAATAAACATCTTGCATCTTATTGCTTATTAAGTGCTATTCATCCAAGCACATGGAAACCTGAAGAACCTTTTTTGTGTCTATAATGCGCAGGGTGAACTTTTATTGGAGCAAGTGGGGTGGTATGTTGGAATAGGATATAGGATTTCTTTAATAGATATCTATATAGGGGAGTATCATGTCAACTGGAAATTATTAAGCAGCAATTAAAGCAAAGAAACAAATCTGATATTTGGTAACGGTAATGGGAAGTGTGTTGGTTATGTTCGAGCCAAGGATTAAAATGTATGTGTGTTTGGAACAATGCAAAAACCTCCACTTTGCAAAATAATTATTGGGTTGGAAATGCCATCAACACAATTGCTGGACAATAGTGCATACAGTGTATATTGTGCTTATACAAAATCTCCACAGGGTACAAATTCTGCATTTCATGCTTCACTAGTTTTCACTGTACTGTTATTGGGGCCTCACTAACATAGTAAGATAACAAATGATGCCCCTTTCTCACTAGGAGTTTCTCTAACCTGGTTTCAGCACTGCTGCATGACATATTACAAAGTTACTTATTTCGTTTCTGACAGACTTTATGGTGCATTTTACACAAGCTCCTACTGTATGTGACCTTAAATTAATATTTGAAGAGTAGACATAAATCCAACATCATTGTGTCTTTGCTTTAAACCAATATGCTGCCTGTTTAGCCTTCACATGTATTATTGACTTTAATATATTGTATTGTTTTTGTTTGGTTTGTTTGTACATCTGCAGTATTGCATAGTTGTGATGTGACTGTGTATCAAATGATTTCTTTAATGTAAATGATTGAATGAGATAATGTTTCCTATGCATTTATTTAACATCCAATACTGATGAAAATAGCCTTAAAAAGAAAGCTCAGCTTACTTCATCTTATACATTTCTTTATCTAAATTATGTATTTGTTGCTGCACTAAGGTTAAAATATGTCCTATAAGAATAATACCATTATCTTGTCTTACAACAACGGGAGGCAGTATAACTATTAATGTGTCCTGAAATGTAATCTTTTACAGATTATTATAATTTGGCAAATCTTTTCAAATTGAAAGCTATTATTTTAAGAATGAAATGAATTTGTTTCTTAAGATATATACACATTTTCCTGCACCATCACTCAATAACCATGGCAACATCTGAGAAAAATCCAACATCATTTTAATCATTTTAAGTCCAACCAAATAAATAAATCCCAATTTTACCCCTATCAAATATATTATTATATATTGAAAATCACAAATATAATAATATGTATAGCATCATAAATAGCTTTGTGTGAGCCACCAGTTACTGTTACTCTATTCGTCAATGTAAGGAAATGTCTTGTTCGCTCCATATCCTGAGTGCCCTGGTCTGGCTTTAGCCACTTCCTGTTTGACTTCTTTCTCTGGTTGACTTTGAGGTGAGTCTGTGGAGCCGCTTGCCTGGTAGCCTGTTAGAGACACTGAAATATAATGTTATATTAATATAAAATGAGATTAAAATCCATACGGAAGTGCAAAGGTACTATCACTTTATTCTACTTAACTATGAGTCAATCTTTCCTGTTTTCAGTATTTTACTCACTTGGAACCTTTGGAGCATCTGTCCCGCACTTCAGTGTGCTTTGAGAAAAGCACTCTGCCATCCAGGACAACACCTCTCCGCAATATCTGACCTAGAGACGAAGCAGAATGACTGAGGGTAATGCAAACTGTCACAGTACTTACACGTTAGTATGAAATGTGTTTAAGGAACTGCAACTTGATTATGTGTCAAATGGTGCTTTTGAAGTCACTTTTACCTGAGCCTCCATGGACTGCTGTCGTTTCTCCTGGTCCTTGAACCCACCGACAATCCGCAGCAAGCTCTGAACCCTTGGTCACAATAAAAAAAACAGTTATAATCAAATTCAATGCTGCACCATCAAAAATAAAAAAATAGAATAACCACAAGGGGGCAGAAGAGCTTTAACTTTAATATTGCTAACTGGAGTGCCTGCAGACCCTAGATGTCTACTTTCTGTAGACAGATTTGATTTATTTAGAATCTGTTCGAAGTGACCTGATATCTTTGTTTTGTGTTTCTTTTCTAACAAGTGCCTTCACTTGTTTAAAAAAATTTAAAAAAAATGTTATTCCACACATGTAGTTTAAAATATGTAACATTTATTGATTTCAAGTTTGTCATGATTTATACTATCAGACTGTATCTGATAGGAAGGGGGGGGTCCACTCTCAGTTATTTTGGAAGAGGGTCACAGATGCAGCAGATGGCTGTGGAGGGTTGGTGGTTTGATCCCTCGCCCCTCTATGAACGTTTGTTTGTGGATAAGTGAAAGTTTGCAATGCTTTGAGTGGTCAATGAGTCATTCACACAGATTTCCTCCATTTTCTTTTAACATTATTAAGCACATTTTCACTGTAACTTTTTGTTAAGTTATAATATTCCGTGTTTTTAATGTATTGTGACCAAATACGTTGTTATATTTGATGATAAACTGTTGTTGGATGAGGGTTACACAAGGACCACTTTGACACACTACATGCCAAAAAGATGATATCTTCTGATACTCCTTTTACATTGCAAAACATTACTTTGAAGAGGTGCTCTTGAGTCTCTCCTCGCTGCTCTCCCAATGCTGCCGCTCCAGCTTGGCCAGGTAGTTCTCTTTCTGCACCGTCTCCCATGTTATCAGCCTCTGGTCTAGCCCCTCCGGCAGCTCCCTCTCTGGCAAATCACACACACACACACACACACACACACACACACACACACACACACACACACACACACACACACACACACACACACACACACACACACACACACACACACACACACACACACACACACACACACACACACACACACACACACACACACACACACACAGGGAGGCAGTCCAACAATCAATTAACCAACAGGCAATTTCCATGAATAGAACAGGTGAAGGACAGAGATAAGCACGCAATTTGTTTCCAGTATTTCATTTAGCCAGTTAATTGTTTCAATATCTGTTTGGAATAATGGCTAAATAGTGCCTAGTGGAAATATATTTCAATACACAGACATAACATTCATACCAAGATGCTCCTGCTTGGACACAGGCCTTTTGATCAGGCTAAGGAAGAGCTGAGAGAGGTGGCTGATGATGATGAAGGGTGGGGCGAGTGCTGGGCGGCTGTGGTACTCCACTATCAGGTTGTACCTCTGGAACTTCCAGAAGATGTCTGTGTTACCCTGCACTATCTGGAATGTGTAGCTGTAAGAAAAAAAAGCCAGTAAAATCAATGTTTTGGGGGATTTTATGTTGTGTAAATAAGTCAATTGCAAACGGCTTTCTGTATTCCCATCCTCTGACCTGAACATGGCAATGAGCAGATTTAGCAGCAGGACATTGGTGACAAGAAGGAAGATAACCAGCAGCAGGATGACCAGCCAGTTGGCATAGACGTTGGGACATGGCGGCCGTAGGCCCAGAATAATCTCCTCGGAGTTATTGGTGCAGTTGATGTCAGGCATGTGAGCAGCTGTGCTCCGTTAATGAAAGAACAAAAACACGTGAGCAGAGGGAAAAAAAACATTCAGGCTAACACAGCATCCCTGATTGCACACAATTAAAATATAACATTCAAAGTTTACACATGAGTGAACAGACCAGGGGCCTCATTTATAAAGGGATATACGCTCAAAAAATGGTGTACGCCAGTTTCTACGCAATGTTTGCGATTTATAAAATACTAACTTGACGGGAAAATGTGCGGTCCTCCACGCATACTCTAACCCATGCGTACGCACTAAGCACAACAACGGGAGAGACGAGAAACTGCGACACCGTTGGCAGAAGGAAGAATGGAGAGAAATATGTGGAAATAATACCATAAATAAAATGTTACCTCTCATTTATCATATGAAGAATTCATTTTCAAACATTGATTAAAGCCAATCTTAAAATGATTAAACAAACGCCTGTTTGAGACTCCTCAGTGCACACAAAAACATAACTTGGAGAAATAAATAAATACGGATATGTTATTTAAAACCACCTCGAATATGTTGTGTTAATGTTATGAAATGTTTTCTCATAAATAATGCGGTAAGCAGGAGGACAGAATTACGTCTAAACTGACGCCGTTTTGCATTTCTATAGGTTGTAGATACGAGCATGGTTTGATATCCTATCACGTTTAATCGTGTTTTATGCCGTTTGCCAAGACTTGATAAGTCGCTCGTAAAACACAGGAGGTATGGAAACTAAGAACACCATATGTGTTAAATTGTACAGTGTAGTGATCACTAATTAACTAGGTTACCTAATTCACTCATGGAACTACAGGTTGGGGGTATTGTTTCCGCACGGACACATATGTTGACGGTACCTACTGTGTACCTACTGTGTGTCCTCCCTTTCGCTTTCTCTTCTCTTCTCGGGCTGCGACCCGACAGCATGTCCATTTCTGTCGCTCATTAAAGCCAGATTTGCACCTTCGATGCACCACCTCCATCGGACGTTTCTACAACCTGCTCCACCTGTCGAGCTCTACGGTGCCGAGGAGGTTTTACCACGGGGATATCGCGGAGAGACCGGAGCGCCTCTACGTTTCGGGCTGGACCTGCTTCGCCTATCCTGTACTGCTGTGCTGAGGAGGATCTTCACCGGGGACATCGCGGAGAGACCGGAGCGCCTCTACGCCTCGAGCTGGGCCTGCTTCGCCTATCCTGCTGTGCTGAGGAGGTTTTGCACCGGGGTCATCGCGGAGAGACCGGAGCGCCTCCACGTTTCGGGCCTGCTTGCGCACCTATCCGGATGCTGTGCTGGTCTGGGAAAATGGCCCCTATTGTGATTCTGCTATGCCTGTTAGCTATTTTGGACAATGAGAAGTTCTCTCGTCATCCGGAGAAGTCGACTGGGTTCAGGTCTGTTCTACCGCCCGCAGTGGACATCCCCTGTAAAGGTTCGGATGTCTTACACAAACATTTACCGGTCACCTTGTCGCAGACAATCTGCTCGACAAAATATGTTTGTCTTTTTTGTTTGCCTGCGATGATGGTTCTTCAGGACTGCTTCTTAAGCTCTAATCAAACTCTCGCAGACTTTTCCGGTGATTCTAAAGTAGATGACAATGTGTGTGTGTCGATTAAGAGGAAAAGATGCCTGTTTTTTTTGTTGTTATTACTGTCAGGAAATGTTCAACCTAACCCTGGTCCGCCCAGTAGTAGTAGTCAGATCGCTACTCCTGCTGATTTTAAAGCTAGATCTGGGTTGGGTTTCATCCACTTGAATGTGCGCAGTCTGTTAGGTAAACTAGATTTTGTCCGCATTTGGGCGAGCTCGACTGACGCTGACGTCATTGTGTTATCAGAAACATGGCTAAATAAAACTATTTTGGCCTCTGACATATCCTTAAATGGTTATAATGTGTATCGTACCGACCGGCCTAATAAAGGTGGTGGAGTTGCCATTTATGTTAAGAATAAGTACAGTGTAATCACATTGATCTCCAAATCTGTCAGTAAGCAATTCGAATTTTTAGCCTTAAATATAGAAGTGGCAAAGGGGCAACAAGTCATGGTGGTGGGCTGTTACAGACCCCCCTCAGCTGTCAAGGACTCCTTGTTTTCACTAGCAAAACTTTTATCACAACTAGACTACAAGGAAATAGTGCTACTTGGAGATTTTAACTGGGACTGGTTAACTGCAGTATCAGAGGATTTTAAAAACCTTTGTATCTCTCTGAATGTTACTCAGATTGTTGACAGTCCTACTCGCCCTAACGTTAAGTCCCCTAATAAATCATCCCTAATTGATCTCATTCTAACTAATGTTCCCTATAAATACCCATCTGTGGGAGTATTTGCAAATGATGTGAGTGACCACTGTGTTGTAGCCACAATTAGGGACACTAAGGTCCAAAAGGTTAAACCCCGTATTATTATTAAGAGACACATAAAACATTTTGTGGAGCAGGGTTTTGTTCATGATCTGTTTGGGTTTGATTGGGGAAAAATAGATCTGTGTGCTGATGTTGAAACTGCATGGTCTTATTTTTATCTTGGTTTTATGGAAATTATAGATAGACATGCACCCCTACGTACTTTTAGAGTAAAGGGACGAGACAATCCTTGGTTTTCTGCTGAACTGTCCAGTCTCCTACATGAGAGAAACAAGGCCTGGGCAAAGGCTAGGAAATCAGGCTCAGAGGTAGAATGGCTGCGTTTTAGGCAGCTAAGAAATAACTTCACTTCACATGTCAAAAGTGCTAAGTCGAAGTACTATTTGTCAGTTACTACAGAAAACCTAAATAATCCTAGGAAATTTTGGAAAGCCATAAAATCGCTATCCACCGGTGAGGTCCGAAATGAGCTACCTCCGTGCATTACCACAGCATCTGGCTCTATATCGGACAGGGCTACTATGTTAAATTGTTTTAATGAGCATTTTGTGTCCTGCGGTTCTATGTTTGATTCTGTGACTAATTCTGCTACTGTGAACACCACAGTCTGTGACTCTGAACAATGTGGTCTGGAAAACCCTTTCAGTTTTACTCCTTTTACTGTAAATGTTGTTCATGAAGCTTTATCTAAGTTAGATCCTAAGAAACCGGCTGGCCCGGACAACGTAGAACCTTTCTTTTTAAAGATAGCTGCAGATTGTATTGCTCCACCTCTCACTACTCTTTTTAACCTCTCCCTCAGCACAAACACAATTCCTAAAGTATGGAAGTCAGCTTATGTCCTGCCACTACTAAAAGGAGGGGAGGCAACTGTTTTAAATAACTATAGGCCAATCTCGAAATTGTCAGTTCTGGCTAAGGTTCTTGAACGCCTAGTGAGTGAACAGGTAAAGGAGTTTTTATGTAACAATGACATTCTGTCTAAACATCAGTCAGGCTTCAGAAAGAAACATAGCACCATCACTGCCACAATGAAAGTGGTGAATGACATTACAAGTATTTTGGATAAAAAGCAGAGTTGTGCAGCTCTATTTATTGACCTTTCCAAAGCGTTTGACACAGTCGATCATCACATCTTAAAGCAGAGGCTACTCAGTATTGGCTTATCCAGCCATGCAGTGGGGTGGTTTGTGAACTACCTCTCTGAAAGGTCCCAATGTGTTCACTTTGATGGGCTGTCTTCTGAGTGGTTGAACATTGCTAATGGTGTTCCTCAAGGTTCTGTTTTAGGTCCACTTTTATTCTCCATCTACATCAATAGTTTAGGTGAAAATGTGGATGAAGCTACTTTGCATTTTTATGCGGATGACACCGTGATGTACTGTGCACGTCCCTCCATTAAGGAGGCGGTTGTTAAATTACAGGCTGTTTTTAACATTATTCAGACTCAGCTCTCTGAACTAAAGCTTCTTTTAAATGTTGAGAAAACCAAAGTAATGCTCTTTTCTAAAGCTAAAAAGACTCCAGAGACTGCTTTGGATATTGTGACTATGCAAGGACAAGTACTCCAAGTGGTTAGCTATTATAAATACCTTGGTATCTGGCTTGATGATTGTCTTACTTTTAAACTTCAGGTCACTAATCTGCTTAAAAAGCTGAGGGTTAGATTAGGTTTCTTTTTCAGAAACAAGTCCTGTTTCTCTTTTGAAGCCAGGAAAAGGCTAGTCACTGTGACCTTTTTACCTGTGCTAGACTATGGTGATTTGTTGTATATGAATGCACCTGCCCATTGCCTGGAAAGGTTAGATGCCGCCTATCACAGTGCTCTGAGATTTGTTACTAACTGTAAAGTACTTACTCATCACTGTACCCTGTATGCCAAGGCAGGTCTGCCTTCACTTACTGGTCGGAGGCTCAGTCATTGGTACATGTTCATCTACAAAGCCATGCTGGGTAAACTACCTTCTTATATCTGCTCTTTGATCTCACGGACAGTGGCAAGTAGCTATTGCCTGAGATCACAGGATGTGTTTTTATTACATGTGCCAAGTGCTAGGACTGTTTTAGGTGCTAAAGCTTTTATGTGCGCTGCTCCTCTGGCTTGGAACACCATGCAAAAAATATTGAAACTGAGCATTTTGATTCCCTTGCATCGTTTTAAAGCACGGCTGGATGAAATATTATTGGATACCTGTAAATGTAAATAGGTTGCTAATGTATACCCCTGTAATTATGTTGTGATGTCCTTTTGTTTTCTGTTTGTTTTTATATGTGTAACTAAATGTGCCGCAGGTCTCCCTTGTAAAAGAGATCGTTGATCTCAATGGGATTTTTTAACCTGGATAAATAAAGGAAAAGAAAAAAAAAAAGAAAAAAAGGGTATGGAAACTAAGAACACCATATGTGTTAAATTGTACAGTGTAGTGATCACTAATTAACTAGGTTACCTAATTCACTCAAGGAACTACAGGTTGGGGGTATTGTTTCCGCACGGACACATATGTTGACGGTACCTACTGTGTACCTACTGTGTGTCCTCCCTTTCGCTTTCTCTTCTCTTCTCGGGCTGCGACCCGACAGCATGTCCATTTCTGTCGCTCATTAAAGCCAGATTTGCACCTTCGATGCACCACCTCCGACTCCCTTCTCTCGGCACTACATTGGATCACGTCGGGGTCACCAATGTAGTGCCGTATAATTATCTCGACCTCCCCAAAATAAACAAAATCTGACACGGTGTGAGATGTCTTTTTTAGCTGTTCGGTCGTAATTTCCTGCGATCTTCTTCATGCAGTCAGTCAGCATGAATGAATGAATGAATGGGCGTTTCTTTGACTATTTATAGGCAAATATGGGCGTTACGAGTCGATTGTGATTTATAAAGGGAAACAGGCGTAGGAAGTGCTGTACGCACTTCCCTCGCTGGTACGCAATGTTTTGTGAATTGGAAAATGTCGGAACATTTCTGTACCTATTTTTTTGCTTTGTACTACGTAAGCAACCTTCCCACGTCAATCCTACGCAAGGCGTTATAAATGAGGCCCCTGATCTGAAGTTCTTGTCTTCTAGGATACAATGACAAAAAAGGCATATCATGTAGTTTACCATCTATGTGCTCCAAAGGGATCTGGCCAAAGATGTGCAGGTAGGGGCGGTACAAGGCCCTGCGGAACACCCAGTCAATCCTCGGGTCATTGGGGTGGAGAAGAGCCTGCGTGGCGACGCCATACGCAATCATCCACACGCTCAGGAAGAACAGGAAGAAGAAAACGTCCTTTATCTGTTGGGAAAACACACACGTTTTATTGTGAAGAATCATCATGGTGAGGTTTTTTTCTTATCCTATCACAAAAATGTTGCTATATCTGTATTGTATATTATTCAAAATGCTACCTAATAAATACAGATTAGCAGAAGAAAATGAATGTGGTAGTTTTCTGAAAAGATGGCCCCCTGAACAATATAGTTGAAAAGCCCCAATCTTTGTGAAACCAAAGAGCCCAATAAGCATGAGAAGGTCCTCTACATGCACTGCATCAGTATTCTGAATGGGCTACACAGTGTCTGTCTCTATAACCATGAACACAACTTGAAGATCACATAGTAAGAAATGCTTATATATGTTATAAAGAAGTGCTTTTATCACCATTCTTTCCACAATGATGATCTTGGGGCCAAGCTGCTTATAAATGGCAAAGATGTGGATCAGACGCAGAGTGAAAACCATGAAGTCGATCGCCAGAACTGTCCTTCCTGCTTCATAGGTTTTCTTCGCCATCCTGCAGGGTCAAAGAAAACAGACATTACTGTGTGGCCTACTTCCTATTCAGTGACTCATTTATTATCCTAGACCTTCATGGCAATAAATCTAGAGCATCTGCACTGTTGTGTTGTGTTAACAATGTCGATGAAGAACATTTACCTGCATGAAACCCCAACGACAAAGAGTGAGATTGCAACCATGTCGCTCTTGTTCCAGTTGTCCTCCACATAAAGTTTGAACTTCTTCAAGATGTTCATCTCTTCGTCCGTGAAGAAGCTCTGTGTCGTTAAAGAGAATCGTTCATTCATCACTACACATCATTATATGTACGCTTTTGAAACATTACAAAAAAGTAGTTTATTAGTAGCAAGTCATTTTTCACAACATTAACTTTGCTTTCTTTTCTACATCTATCATATGTGAGCATATTGTGTTTAGTTTTTTTACGAATTTTATTTTAAAGGTAACACAACTTCTATGTCTATAGAGCATTGTAGACATACATATGTTTTGTAATCTGCTTATACCAAGGCATTTTTATAATTATTAGCCATCATGATTTCTCATTATAAAGCATTTCTATTTATGTATAATGACTTACAATGTCAAGTATTATAGCACTTCATTGTACACTGCGAAGATCATTCCCAGAGTAGTAATACATTTTAATATTTTATTATGTCCTATTTTGCATTTGAACCATCTCCTTTATGCAGTATAACCATATGCATTTTCTGTATTAATATTGAATTAGTAGAATACAAAAATAAAATATATATAATATATATAATCATATACTATTTGCAGTAAAATTATACATGGCACTATCATCATGTTTTTATTGTGGTTTTGCTAATAGTAAGCATATAGTAAGTAATTTGACCTAATACGTAATTTTACTTTATATTGAGTTAAAATAATTGTTATGAAGTATTACAAATATAATGAGAGCTTATACTGTAACTATAGTAACATACTGCTCAAAGGAAATTATAAAGCATGATATACATGTGCTTATGGTTATCATGTATACAAGTTTTAATGTGTTGATTGATACCTTCTTTGAAAATATTGTGACACTAACATAATATTTGTTGTACTATGGGACTGAAGTATAAATAGCATTACTTCAGAAAACATTTTGCTAAATGTCCTTTTCAGACACACCTTCAGGGCCAAAGGGAGTTATCAGGTACACAGCAGTGTCCACAACTCTCAGCCCTGTAAGATGTTTCTTGCACTTAGAGCAGAAGGTGAAGTTGTCTCCTGTGGTTCAAACAGTCCAAGTGCATCAAGAAAACAGTGCTTGGTCCCAGGATGGAAACATTGGTTAGAGGACAAGCTGAGGAAAGCATGTTGCTTTCATAAAGTGATAGACTGACTGTCCTAACCTACGTACTCGACAGGACACATTTGTATAATCAGCACTACCACAACTGCTTAATTCAACCATTATAGTTCAGAGTTTAAGTGGGTTTAAGAGACAGTATTCCTGCATAAAAGAATGAAATAAAAGCAGTAGTCTGGACTTCCTTGGCATTTCATCTGCAGAACTGCTGATGGAGTCTGACATTTTCGGGCATAAATGATTTTCAAATAGAGCTGGAAGGTAACTAGGCATAAAGTGTAGACTTAGAGGCTGAGGGGAAAACGATCAAATGTCATCGCAGATGTATTGGTATTGCAGTGGCAGTCATATATTCTGTATAAATAACAATGAAACAAAAACACAGATTATGTAAAATCTCTTGGACACTGATGTTATACAAATTGTCTGGAATAATACGCTGTTTGCACTTTAATGTAAAAGGAAGAAAATTCGACACCAGCATTGGCGAGGTCTGTCGATGTAATGAGACGCTACATATTGCTGCCAGCCCATATCAATTCATGCAACAGCATATTGGTTTTTGTGAGAGCGAGCAGCCTTGCACCAGCCCATCCATCACATTTAAAAAGCTGTTAAACCTCTCTCATTGTGCCATGACAACTATGGCGAGAAGCAAGGCCCCTGTGGCATTGTCTTCCTTTGGGGACAGGCGGGCCCCCCTGGGCTTGGGAGAATGCCAGGGTCACGCAGTGGAAACACTGTGCTTCTTTATTTGAAATCCTCTGCCATAGTTCTGTTCAGCTCAGGGACTTTCCAGAGATACAACTGATCTCCCTCATCTGGGGCTTTTTGCCCAGGGGAGGTGGGCTCAGCGGGAGCGGTGCAATAAGGGCTCCTGCTTCTCTGACCTGGCTCACCGAGAGGGAGTCAGGCAGAAAGGTGAAAGGCTCATGAATCTGGAAAACCCCAGAGAAAATGAGCTAATTTTAGCAACTCATATCACCTCCTACTCAGATATGGCTGACTTCTCAGGTCTGAGTGCTGTCATGCAAACACATCTAATAACAGTGCGTCACAATGTGTGTCACACTGCATGGATGTGGATCCAAAACAACCACACAAATAAGAATTCAAAATGGGTTTTTGATTTTGTGAAATGTTATTATAAAGTAATCCAATCCAGTCACCTGTCGAATTTCCTCGAGCACCAAGGTGAAGACCCAGAAGTAGAGCATGATCTCCGGGGCTCCGGGGCCTAAGGGAGGCGGTGGGCGGAAGTCTAGCAGGAGCACGTAGGTGAAGAGGAAGAGGAAGGCGAAGTACATGATGACATTACCAAGGAACACGGTGACAGGAGCATTCCAGAAGCGACGCCAGCGGCGGATCAGGTAACGCCACCAGACAGACGCACAGCTCTGAGCTGCAGGATCTCCAGATGAAGAGTCCCTGGAGAACAGAGAGTAGAGATGACACTTGAGAACTATTTTCGGTCAAAAAACAAACAAGTGACAAACTAACAAGTATATAATGATGTGATGATTGGAGCAGGGTACGATTTTTGATATTGTTTTAGCTGTTGCTGGTCAGGTTTGTTGATTCAGGCTAAACATACTTCATATTGTATCTTCTGCCATCACTAATGGACATTGTCTTCTGTGGTGAGTTTTAGCATATTTTTTTACTAATTTTCATTATATGTTATATTTATTGTGATGTTTTGTTCAAGTATTTGTTTGTCCTGTGTTTTACTTGGCTGCAAAACAAATTCTGATTGGGGTCATTAAATGGGAATACCACCTAAATTAAGAATGTCTAAGTCAGTTTAATTGCCTGAAACCTTGTCTCAAAACTTGTGTTGTTGCCAAGTATAACGTTTGGGGCTGCTCCATGTGCAATGAATGGAAGACTGATTTGGTGGACACACAGTAAGTGTCCTTACTTTTATACGCATATGAGCTTTATTATATTGTAGTGTTCTCAGTTGGGAAATAGAAAACGTACTTCTATACTCAGAACATTGCCCTGTGTGCTCTCTGTTATAAAATCTTCCCCAATGCATTTTCTGTAGAGCTGTTCCCGATTTTTAACGTGATAACGATACACATTTGGATATGGCAGAGAGTTATTCATTTTAACCAACATTTTTTACTCTTAAGAAACACAAATATTAATGAAAATGTGCATGGTTGCCCTTTGAAGTTGAAATAAACAGATGAACGACTGCAAGATGCAAGGCATTTCATGCTAAATATTTGAGAAAGACATATTAACATCTTAAAAAATGATTTATGAATTTATCATCAAAGTGAGTATGATTTCTTAGCAAACTCACAAAGGGTCATCGTCATCAGTCATCAGCAAAGCCTTTTCTGTATCCAGACTGTCCAGCTCCACAAACTCCTCGCGGTTATTGCGATTATCAAATTCCTCTTCGCTGAGAACAAACATAACAGAGTGTCAGGACACACAATGGAACGAAAGACTAATGCTGTGGCGGCATAAGATTGATCACCTGAACTTTATGAGGTTGGTCCAGATGAGTGGTGGACAGAAGAAAGACACCACGAGTTTGGAGATGGATGTGTCTGTCGTCATGGCGCCCCACCATATCTTTGTGAGGAGAGCCTGCAGTAAAAGTTTAGTTTTGTATTAATTAGGTTGAAATCGACAGGGTAACACAAAGCTCAATGACGTGTACCACAAGAGGGCACCACAGGCCTTAGAGTATTTCTGCCCTCGAGTATTGTGACTAAATCCATAAAAGCATCATACACAGAGGTGCTCCAGCTGGTTTACAGAGGAAAAATGCTAATTGTGCCTCCTCATCAAACCATTTCACAGGACGAGTGAACCGCTTCCTTCTCCACAGCTGTCTTGTTGCAGTTTGATGAGTCGCTTGAATGAAAGGACACCTGGAGCTTAGTCATGAGTTTGTCCACCTTTTGTATCATACCAGTAAAATCCACATTCTATTGAAACACAACGCGGCTTCCTATTAAAACGTTTTTTGTGCTTCAAATAAAATACTTTGCTGTCAGGAGTTTTCTGCATATTCACTTTCCCTGCTGACATTGAATGGCAATTAACTCTCAATTGTGACATTGTGTAAGATCAAGGACGTCTATTCAAGGGAAAGTGACTAGCAGAATTATATGACTTTGAAAATAAGCGTCAAATGGTTTGCAATAGCCTTGATAGTCATATTAAAATAACTGCAGGGCAAAACAGTATTTTAACACAGAAGGTAGCGAAATAAACTATAACTATCTAAATAAAAGGAATAATATTTGAAATGCTGGGTAAAGTTCAATGTTTTACAATAGGTGATGTGCCTCCTTGTTACCTGAACTCCATCGTGGGCAAAGAAGGATTTGGCATCAGCCTCAGTGGCCAAGTTAAGGACGGTAGATTTGCTCCAGCAGTGTGTTCTTCTCACTAACAAAGCATAAGCCCTGTCCTCACTGTTGGAGTAACACTCTCCGAAGACATCTGCCACAATAAGAACAGTCAGTACACAGAGTCAACCACAGCTACATTGGAAGAATTTGCACAGATTCATATTTCAATCCCTTCCAGTGGGATCTGTTTGTTTGTGTTGTTAAGGCCGGTGAGTGTACCTCTTTCTAAGCCTGACCTTTGCCTTTTCTAATCTCACTGCCAGCTTTTGTCATCGAGCGGTTTGTGTACTCACCAAGGGCGAATTGCTCATACTTCGCCTCCTTCATACTACGTGCAGACTCAGCCTCAGATTCAAGTCGAGCCATCTCTTTCAGAATCTTACAACCCGCCAGAGCTGCCGCAACCGCCTCAGGGCCCTGAAGGATTAAAAGAAAGCTGGATCCAAGAAATAGGTCTGAGAGAGGAAACTGAGAAATCTACTTTAGAGTTTTAGAAAGCTGTGTGTACCGTATGCATCAGGCTACAGTACATACATTTCTACCTGCAAGTCCACGGAGTGTTTCTAAAGGCTTTCAGGGTGATTTGAATTTGATAGTATAACACTTATAATCCAATACTGTTAAACTCAAGACCTGTATGACATGTAAGCAGTTGTGTGCTGCTTAACTGATCATATTTGAAGTTTTATATGTCTTTTTAACAGCCTCAGGAAACATCCATGCCTTAGTTGTCATTATAGCCTGTCTGCACCTATCAGCCTGAGTGGGTGTGATAGCAGGTTCCAAACCCTATATGTAGGTAGTGGACCCGTCTCACCTTGGAGATGACTTAAGTGCTGTTTTTAAAGACCTGAGCTAAAGAAAAACTATGTACTAGGGGCGGACTGGGACTAAAAATCTAGTTAGGTGCTAGTGAACTGAACTGTTGACGGGGGGCTAGCTGCGGGGAAACGGTGGTCCTCTGTCGCCTGTCAGCGCAACTTCCATGATGCCGTTTAAATACATAACATTTTTAATGAAGGGCGGTAAAGCACTTCAGTGTTTTCATATGTACAATAATTCATGCATACTTTACTTAATTTCAGTGCACTTAAAGGTCCAATGCCAAAAAGTTGTTAAGAATAGGTCATTCATCATAGTCAACTATATGACTTCATTGACTTAAGTCTAAGTGACATGATGCGCTTGAATGTTCAGATGTATCTGAAAACTATACATCAGCATGTCTGCTTGTTGATTTATTAACTTACCAGAAGAAGTGGAACCCAAAGACTGTGTTGACCTGACGTTGTGGAACATATTTCGTATTTCTTTAACAAAACCCAGCTTTTTAGTAAAGGGTTGGAGATGTGCAAAACAGTTCTCCTTTCTTTTCTTACAGTGACTCATAGAAGATGGTTGATAACACTGTTATGTCTATCCATGCAATATGAAGCCGGAGCCAGGAGAGAGTTAGCTTAGCTTTGCATAATGACTGGAAATTAAAACAACAAAGGCTCTCTTTGTGTGGAGCAACACTCTTCAAGAAGTAGTCTGCTCACTACCCAACACGTAGTACATCATGTTACCCCCTGTAAACGCCACAAACACAGTCTTTTGAAGCATGTGTACACCAGGTTGTTTTTTTTGTCAATCATACATACATGTGAGGATAGAAGAAAGAGGATTAGTATAGGAATACAGAAGATAACTAGTCAACTTTTACTAAATATATATATCATTTTGGCATTGTATAATATGGTATTCTTTAGTAAGTTATGTATATTGTATTGTTGTTACTTTCTATATATTAACAGGTCCTTGTTACCTTTAACTGAAATAACCTTTATTGGACAAACAATGTGTAAATAAAGAGGAATATACTGAAACAGAGGGCTCTCTATTTGAAATGCAACCCTCTTAAGTCAAAAGATCAATACAAAAGAGAATAGGTCTGGCTGCATAATGTTGCTCCTGGGTTCATTTATACATTAAATATGAAACAATTTGCAAGCATAAGCAATCCTGCAAGGGTAATAGTGATGAGGCCTTCAACACCAGAGATACTTCAAACAATGAAATTATGAATTCAGATATCCCAGCCAGAGTGAGAGTGGAACAAAGATTTGCAGTGGGGGCTGTACACACACTGAATGCAATTACCATAATTTCCGATAATGTTTGAAATAAGACGCAGTAAAGGAGCAGATGAGGGTGACCGCTTGTGAGATTACAATAATTGGTTCTTCTTAGTTCGGGAAAGGGCAATAAAGAAATGAAAGGTGTCTTGAAAAGATGTTGAAAACAAAGAACAATTATCATTGATTTGTGTCCTTTAAACCATTCATAGGGCATCAATCCCATTTAAGGATATATTTCCCATTAACTTCATCAGGACAGCTCGTTGAATTCAGTGCCCTATGACGCAGCATGACCTTCATTTGAATAATGTTCTTGGAGATAAGATATATTTTTTAGTTCACCTGAGTTCTTAAATATGCCGTTTGCTGGGCTCTTTTATCTTGAAGTGACATTTTCATATGGCAGGACTGACCTGCACCTGCGCTGTTCGGGCCCTCATCACTCTTGTTCACACTTAATGCGGAATACAAACTCGCACAGTATAATTCAACTCGATTCAGTTTGGAATTCATAATTGTTTGCCAATGCCGGGCACATTATGACTTTTTGATAGAATTGAAATAGTATAAGTTGGAGCAGGACTGACTAAAAAAACTGACAAGACTCACCATAGCCCAAAAGTAGTTAGCCATCTGCTGTCGGTTCTGAAGGACAGCCCAGAGGAAGAGATCCCTCCAAGGATGTTCGCAGCGCTGCTCTAACTCCGGCAGGTTCTTCTGGCTGTGGAACAGTCGACCCTTTGCCGGTTTCTCCTGGAGCCCACAGACAGAATTTAATATGCATAGTAAACAGAGAAGCTGCACATAGAAACCTGCAATTATTACATGAGTCATTCGATAAACTAATTACTTCCTCTGCCAATGAGGTTATTTTTGCCTGGGAGATGTCAACAGGAAACAGAGGATTTCAAAAATGTATGAAGCATGCTAAACAGACAGACAAAGATTGATACAGAGCAAACACCATACTTTCCACAACACAGAGATGGGAAACCAATATTTATGTTGTTACAGAAAGTTTGGTGTGCGATGATCCATATCTTCCTTTTGTTAGGCCCCTTAGTTCCCAACTTGTAAGGACTAGTGGGTCTCAAGAAAATCTCAGGGTTGCATGTTTACTTATACAATAGAAAACAGTAAAACTAGTGAAGATAGTTGTAGGTTGTGACAGCTTATTTTGTACTACAGGTGCAGGTTGGGGTTGCCATTAAACATTCATTGTTTTCCTGGAGTAAGTTTACCACAAGGGCTGTATATTGACTATTTCAATGCATCTTTCAGACTTCTAACACTTTCAAAAGAAAAGGTCTGAGATGGAAATGTATTCTCTCACAGCTCATAGACAAATACAGACTGTGAGATGGGGGGCACAAGTAGACTGTTGCATTGCAGGTCAGCTTAAGCCAAAAAAGGTTGAGAACTGCTGCCAGACGCAATACAAGGAGGAACTTTATTCATCAGTGAAAATTATTTCTTGTTTGTTGCTGTGAATATATGTGATTTATTGTAACTTTTGATCACTTACTGTGGGAATCTTTTGGTAAAAGCCTTTGCAGGAGTCATGGAGGAAGTCCTTGAGCACTTTGGCGACCTCGTAGAGGGTGAAGCGAGGCTTGCGTTCCCCTGTCTCCGGCGGGTGGTGCCCAGGTGGGCCAGGTGTTCTGGCAGCTCCGAGCAGAAGCTGCTTCTCCTCGTACTTTTTGAGGAGCAGGTTGTGAAAGAGACTCTTCTCCGACACAGACCAGTAAAGCTCCTGTAGACGACCGTAGGTGAGGAACTCGCCCAGGTTCACGCCGTTGTCAACAAAGAGGCGCACAAAGTCAGGTTTGTCATTGATCAGTGCGTCCATCATCACCTCTTCAAGGTCACAGGCCTGTACAAATAATGTAACTTTTGAACAATGACTCCTGAAGCACCTGTTTTCTCTTTTTCCTGTTAAAATGTTTTTCTAATTGTTGTGCTATTTAATGTATAATGGCTTGCCACCCTTATTTGAGTGTTATCTACTTAGTCATTAGTCCATAAGTCCCTTAGATATTGATCGAATACAAATACTGTATACATAAATAACATTTAAGATGAAATAAATGCTTATACTAACTAGATTTTTGACCAAATGATTTTTAGCTTCATGGCCCTCGGGGTTATATATGGTCAGCTATCTGGTTGGTAATTTGGTTGTTAGGTCTTTTATTTGGTGGGTTGGTTAGTTGTTTAGTCAGTTTCTTGGTTCGTTGTTGGCTCAGTTGTTCGGTTCACCAATTTGGTAAAAAAATAAAATATCTTGAATAATATTGGATGGGATGCCAGTTTTTTGTGGTCCCCAGAAGATGAATCCTACTAATTTTGAAGATCCCCTGATTGATCCTCTAATGCCACCATCAGGCTGAAATGGCTTTAAGTGAAATGTCTTGTTGGCTTTTAGATGGATGTGTCTACAGCATCATTGTGCTAAAGCACAGACTCACAGAACTGCTTGTCAGGTGGTAGATACTCATTTGCAGTTAATTATGCTAAACTCTGACTTGATTGCAGATTGAATTTAACAGTTTTAACCACATTGAAAATGTTAATTACCTGAGTGTGAGAAATCCCTAATCCAATTATATTGGCTCACCTTCCACTCCACATCTCCATTAAATATGTCACTCTTGGCAATATCCACCCTGTTCCAGGCCACAGCCAGCTTCAGTTCATCCAGGAAGTCTTGAGCTTCCTGGCTTTGGCTCTTACAAGCTGAAAAACCCACACAACATAAAAGATGTCAACGGGTTCACAACCATGAAGTGCTCATTTAGTGATCTCTCCCCATGCAACGGTCAAATCACAAAACCAGTGCTGTGATTTTACAGCCTTGGAAAATTGCAGTTTTCTTGATCAGGGATCTTTCACAAGTTACTCTACCTTTGACTAAAGCTTTGAGGATGACCGTATCAAGCTCAGAGCTCTCCTGTTCAGGGTCGTGGACGGTGAGGAGATGCCCATGATCAAGTATCTTCTGGATCTAATGGCAGGGTGACAGTTAGTTATTAATAATTTATCATATGAGGGAAGCATTCTACCATGTTTTCTGAAATAACAATCTCTACCCTGTGTTTGTTAACTTGAAAATATGTTTAATTAGGTCATCACATACACATTTGGAAGATAAGGATGGAAATCCCACATTAGCTTCCCTCACAATCATCCCCAGTGTGCTCCATTTTTCTGGCATCGTTTTAAGTCTTGTGATGTTAATATCCGTGTGTGTGCCTGCCTCCATGCTGTGCACATCGCTCTCACCAGCTTGACCCAGTTACTGATGTCCGTGCTGTGGTGGGCATTTGGAAAGGTGTCCAGCAGCAGCTCATGAACGCTGTCCATATCCCAGCAGCCCCTATTCATCAGCGTGACAAGGATGTCAGCCACGCCTCCCGAGCCTGCCAGGATCAGCCATGGTGTCGAATTGCCAATGCCTTTGTACATTCTCTGCAGACAGAGACACAGTGTGCAGACTCACAAACATCCTCATTCTCACTAAATAACTTCTCAACTAAACATTAACCAAGAATTATATTGATCTGTGTGAGCTGTTTTCCATAATTGTTGTTGCAGCTCTATTTATGCAAATGTGATGATTTGACAGGCTCTCAAGCCCAAGAGATTAGTTTTTGAGAAAAACAGAAATAATTTGTTTCTCAGTCTGGCTTTGACCCGAGACTTCAGGAGGTGGCACAACTAAGAATCTTATCCTCAAGTCTAAGCTACTAGTCAGATGCAAATTGATATGAGAAAGACATCCAGCTCTTAAAAGTTCTCTTAGCGGTCACTTCTTTAAAGTGCTTGAGTAACCTTCACAGCGTATTGAAATTAAACTCACCTTTAGGATCTTGGGCTCTCCGTGCACCAAGAGACACAGAACAGGTATTTCAAAGCTGCCTGCACCTAAAAGCAAAAACAAGCACAATTACAATAACATCTTGTGCATCTCAAAGTGTCACACATTCTTATCACTGTGGTGTTACAGTAGATCTCGCTGTTGTGTGAATGGTGCATAGGTTTTCTGCTTCCAGCTGTAAAACAACCCTTTTTTCCTCTAAGTTGTGAGCAGTAAACCGAAAAGTAATGATTCATTATCAGACTGCATTTTTAGAGTGGGATAAAACTACCTAGATTTCAACAACAAGGACAAGTAAAACTGTTTCATTTCATACTGTAGCATTTTTATTATTTCCTGACTATCATCTCACAGCTCTTATGAAATGATGATAAGGTCATATTTATCTGTGTACTTAGTAGGCCATGAACTGTATAATAATAGGAGCATACTATATGCTAGTATTCTCAGAAAAATAAACTATTATGCAACTTTTTCACAAATCTAACCTAGAAAGGCATGAGAGGTAACATTTGATGTCCATTGCCGCATGCCTGAGCCATGTTTTTATGAATGAATCCCTGTCTGGTCTGCATGAGCATGTGGGCGATGAAATATACATCCCCGATGCTCCTTTGAGGGAACTTCGCTGACTCACAGAGAAACATGCTGTAGCAATACTCATCCAAGATAGAGAGGAAGACGGCTGCAAGCTAGCCCAAATGGCACAACTACTGGGTATGTTGGATTCACATTTCATTTCTTGTTTCCAGCGAGAGTTAAAGGGCTTTACCTCCATAACCAGTGCGCTGGAGAGAGATGTGCTTGAGCAGCTTCACCCTCATTTCACTGGTGGCCCCCGGTCTGTTGGGATCCTCCTCCACCAGCACAAAGTGGGAGTGGTGGCTGTCCAGGGAATACACCGAGCCATGGGGCAAGTCCTGTGGCTTGTATGCGGTAGGCTCGTCCACCTTTAGAACAAGAATGAAGGAATGCAGAGAAACAGAACACATTGATGTTAAGGATGTTAATGTATTTCTCAAATATCTGTTTCAATTGCTCTATATTAAGTGTCTGTGAACATAAAACCTTGGTGTAGTTGCTGGTGAGTAATGCCTCTCGGTTGTGGATCATGTTCCAGGGTGTGACGCCAATGGCCACTACACGAACTTTAGAGGAAGTGCTGGCCAACGAGTGATCCCTCACCGCCTGGCCCAAGTGCTTAGTGATGCCAAAGCGAAGGCCATTAGTCAGAATCCAAGCCCCTAGAAAACAGAGAGGCAGCTGCAGTCTCTGCTATGTCTGTGAATCAGACCAGAAAGTACTGTTCTGGGTTTCATATTAACAGCTGGCCTAGTGATAATGCTAATTCAGTCATATTGTTTATAAGTGAGACATTATAATAACCATCATTGATAAAAGATAAATTGATTTTTTTGATTTATTTACATTTATAAATCTGTTAATGGTTGATATTTGGTTTGTAAACGGTCAATAAATATGAGTATAGTTTTTATTGGGTTGAAGCGTTTACATTTCAAACGGTAAATAATACTTAAATGCATCTATATACATGATTTAGATGGATATTTAATAATTGATCAATTATTAATAACTGATTTCTGGTTCATCTATCTATATATTGTTTGTAGATGTTTTACACAACATTTCTCAAGGTTTTTCATATCCTAGGGTAACAAACGCTTAGTATTGTATGTAAAATGCTGTTATGTGTGTAAAAATCAACTATAATTGTACAGTTCACAATGTAATCAGGACGTAACTGTTACTGTTTCATATCAACTATGATACTTTATAAACTATCACCCATTCTAATTGGTGGTTATTAAAAAGTGTTAATGCCATATTTGTTTGTAAAGCATTATGTGTACGAGCATTAACAATAAGACAAACATTCATCATGCAACTTCAAAACACATTCTTTTGATAAAGAAAATTATCATACATCAGAATAAAAGACAGGATTTCATCTTGATGAGGTGTTTTATAACTCAGCTACCAGCCAATAGAGGGCAACATAGTACCAGCTCTCTGTTACTGAATGTCGATTTCAAAAGCCAATCCCAGTCTAAGCCCCTGATTATAACCTGTACTCTGTGCAGCCTTCACAAGTCCTTTTCTTAGAGTGTCCCTGAGCCAGGGCTTCATCTGAGCCAGCTCATCTCCTCCCACCAGTGACACCACCAGGTGTGGGGGGGCAAGGCCCCATTCCTCTGTCAGCATCTGGTAGATCTGCACTGGGTCTGTGTTGCTGCGCACCCTCACAAACTGGATACAAAAAGACAAGATGATGCGTCATTATTTCCCCTCTGAACATTTATTCTGAAAACTCCACCTGTGCTGTATATTGGTTGTTTTTATTTATGAAAGGCTTTACCTTTCCTCTCGTCTTAGAAGTGCCGATGAAGTCAATGTCGCCCACCCTTCCCGCCGCCCAGGGGCTCTTCTCCTTCTTCATTCTGCTGGCCAGGCCTCTGGAAACATTCTCCAGTGTCTCATCCACTGTAGAACAGCAGGAACAGCCCAGCAGGACACTGAGAGATACACACATTCAAGTATTATACAGTCCTTTCTACCAACACACAAAAGATAAGAAAGCTCTACTGTAGCACACTCTCTGATCTTCAGCTCACCTGGAACCCCCATCTCACTATGCTCCTCATAAACATGCAACAAGACTATTTTATATTCATGCTCTCCCATAGTGTGCCAATCATTTAAATAAAACGATGGAATCCCTTGCCCTTAAATGAAGGTCCACCTTCTGAAACGTATTGCTTTTTTACTCTGTACTTTCTAATACAAAAGTTAAATCTACCCTATAGCCATTGAATCAGTGCTTTATATACACCAAGTTGTAGTTTTGTCTGCAAAGGAGGTAATTGTGTTGTTCTCTTCGTCATTTGAGTATTTTTAAGCGGGACGTTTCAAAAGCTACGATGTTTGCAGTAAAGTTAAGCCACGGGCCAATGACAAACAGATTAACACCACCACATGGTCATTTATTAACCCCTTCATAACTCCTGTACAGAATTATTACATGGAATTGTTCGATGTACGCCACACCATTTTCTGTCCAAAATCACCTTCCACAAAGGGGCAACCTCTGGCCAAAGAATTGCTTTAATCTTCAATTCATTCTAGCCAGCAGGAAGGATTCCTGGTTGTGCAGAAGACTATGAGGGAATTATTCTAACGCTGACTTAATTTATTAACTTGGTAAACATTGATGACTTTATGATCTCAATTGCTAGTTAAAGACTCTGCACAGCATGATGTTGGTTTTGTAAATGATGGTCCCAATTAGAGTAAAGCAGACGATAGATCATGGTATGCTCTAGTGCTTGGCAACCTTGTGGATGACAAGTCGCTACCACAGTGTTGTTTAGCAAGAATGTTATTAAAGACCATGGGTGTGTTGTAGAACTGGATATGCCACCACTGCTCAGCCTTGCTTCCATTTTTCTTCAGTGACCACTCGCAGTACTGTAACTAAAAGAACAGTTCCCACTTAGACCCATAAAAGAGATGTCTGTCAAATTGTTTACAGGACTCTTACAGCTAAATGGGGTCCATCTATATGACATCCATGTCAAAGTTTGTTTTCTTTATGCCTAAAGTCAGTAAGCCTTTAATATCACAGTTACAGTGAATTCACATGAATGGATGCACCTTGCCAACCAAGCCAGCTGAAATGTGTTTGTTATACTAACAGAACTGCTCCGCTGGACCTTGCTCTTCTCCATCATACTAGTCCAAATACTGTCAAGTATAGCTAAAATATGGCAATGGCCAAAAGGCAAACATTTAGGCTTAGGTAGTTAACAAAACAAAGGGTGACCTCACACAGACAAGGTCCATTTTTTAAATAAAGAATGTGAGTTCCACCAATATCCAGGGTTTTCTCAAAGCCATGCTGCATACAAATCCAGTTGTTGCCATGTTTGGCATTAAACACAGTTGAATGATCACAAACACCCTGGTATAATTTAGTTTTTTTTTACATATTTGAAAAGGAAAATTGGGCATATCTCACTACTGTATAATATAACCTCTTTCATATTTAATTGGGCAAAGCCTTAACATTTCAAGACAGAGTCACAATCCAATTTATATTAGACCTCATCAAAATGTTCTATCAATAAAAATGACTAATTTAGACGAGTGTGCAAGGCTTTTTGGGCTCTTTTATCTATAATCTGCTGGATAAAGAATAAGGCCCATTGCCTATGCTATAAGATAAAGCATTCTACTTTTCTACAGCTACTTATGAACATTCTCATGAATAATTGAAGTATAAAAAACTTCAAATTGGATTTAATTAAGGCCTTTGTGCAGCACAAATGTTTGCTTCCTGTAGCACCTCTTCCACTTAAGGCCTGCTAACCACAAGTCTGATCTGATTGCTTGCAAATGATGTGATGGTGATCTCTATCACGAATACTGAACAGCACTGTCATTTGTTTCAGATAAGAGCTCAGGTCAAGTCGCTAGAATGTTATGTAGAGTATATCACACACACAAACAAACAAACAAAAACACACATGCACACACACACACACCTGTGTTCCTCTGACCACTCCAGCACCTCCCCACATCTCAAACATCGTGTCTGCGGCTTCAGTTTCCCCTGAAAACAAATACACATATATTATGTCCATTCTTCTAAAACCCATCATGACTCGCTCAGCACTCTTTTCACAGAGGGGAAGGCTCTTAGAAGTACTTGTGGTCAATGCAAAGTTGGCAGAATTTTCATCCTCGCCTCATATGCAAAGTGCTTCCTGCATGATTTTTGAACTAGAACTCCACAAAACACTGTCACTCATACACATGAAACAAATAAAACTAGGTCACACAACACTGTGGCTTTTCCCCAGAATCTCTCAAAATAAAACCCTTCTGATATAATGTCAAATGACAATAATGCATTTAGATTTTATTAAGCAGCCTGGGATTGCTTTTGACTTTATGACTCAGCTAGTCAATGTTTTACAATGAAAACAGTCACAGTTTGTTTATCTGGGAATGGTTAATTTCATAGAAATAAATGACACTGAGTTCAGAAAGGAACCTCATTCATTATTGATACGATTATTGCTTTGCCTGAGTAAACACAGACTTTTATCAGCCAGCCGTATTTGCGTGGGCTGTTTAGGGAATATGATTAGAACAAAAAGGCGGCCCAATCGCATATTTCTCCATGGGTACTTTGAATATAGGAATGTGTTTAAATATGGTGCCCTGGTTAACACACAGACTCAGAGTCAATTTGTGTTTAGCCTTCTGCTCTAATGTAAGTGAGCAGCTGATTGTGGAGGCCTTTATTTGACTAGGGTCGGAATCTGGGAGGGAAGAGTTTACTGGCTATGCAAACAGGGCAATTTCCATGCAAAGCTTTGCACACACACACACACACACACACACACACACACACACACACACACACACACACACACACACACACACACACACACACACACACACACACACACACACACACACACACACACACACACACACACTCACACACTTTTTACATCTTGCTTTACCCTGGCATAATGAACTAATGAAGATGATGATGTGTGATGTCTTAATCTAGGCTAGCAGGCAGCAAACACACAGCTACATTAGCCCAGCAACTGCCTTTAGACACATGTAGAGACTTCCTTAGAAATAGAATGATTTATGTTTTGAGAAAACGGTGATACATATTGGAAAAAAATATATTTGTTAAAGAATCTCAACATTTTAAAGCATTTGAAAATAATAATGAGAAGAAAAATCAATATTTGTTTTAACAATAAACAAAAGAGGTTTGATATTGCATACAAAAAGCGTCTGTTACTAATGTAAGTATGTGCAAGTGAGTAATATAGGGATTTGTGAATTATTGTGAGATACTTGGTTGGTTCATCTTCAAGTCACACTCTTAAACAAATCCTATTACATTTTACATTACACCACACCAAATAATGTTTTTCCCATATTGCTATATTACCCTTGACCTACAAGTCATTGTGTAAATACAGTAAGACCCTCTGAAATTATTGGACATCAAAGAACAAACATATTACCAGAAGATAATATTTTCACCTGGTGAAATGTAGACAGTCCTGACAGTGATTAACAGAAAAACAACAGGTGCTGCACTGCATTTACTCACCAGAGGTATGCCTTGTTGCTCCTGCATGGCTCTAATAATGGTTCCTCTCCTCCTCCTGCTGAACTGTCAGGGCACAGATATTTTTCATCACTGCCCTCAGGTCAGGTGAACTACCTGGGCCATCAGGTGGTGCAAAGGTGGGGCTCTCCCTGTCTCCGGCCAATCCCTGACTCTGCTGTGCACCTTTGCTTTGCATGTCGCTCAGCGGCTGCAAATCGCCCTCACTAGGACCGCATATTCCTGCTGCCTAATGCAACAAGCTTATTTCAAATACTTTAAAAACTGCCACCTTTGTGTTTATTTTCTACCTTGGCACATCCATTGAGGGGGAACGAATTACAATTCCAAATTAAAATAGAACAATGGCAAATAGATTCACACAAAAAGTGTAATTTTTTCTTCAGCATTGATCTTCAATCTGTCAGTGTGACGGCTTTGCAGTATTTAATATGAGTTTAATGGAGGAATGTACGATTAGTATAGTGTTTCATTATACTGGTTTGCTTTAAAGGTCCCATGTCATGGCCATTTCCACTGATCATAATTCCATTGTTGAGGTATACTAAAATAGATTTATACTGTGCATTTTTCCAAACTCACATTGGTTTCGCATACAGCATCTCTGTAAAGTATGTGTATTCAGTAGTATTCACTCTCTCCACTAAACGGCTCGTTGCAGCTCTTGCCCCCCCCTCCCTGTGAGCCCAGTGTGCTCCGATTGGTTCTGATTAGTCAACCACCAGAGAGGCTCCGCCCATGTCTAACGGTGCTTTTTTCGGCTCGCTCTCAGCGGAACATCAGTCTTATAATGGCCTCGGTACAGCCGTATATGTTATACGCTAACTAACCGAACTGTACCTACAACTGTTGTTATAGAAGAGTGAGTTATTTTTTACCTGTAATAAACTACTACTGTTTGATGAGAAATCAAATCATGGTTTGCTATATATGAATGATATGTTATAGGAGCAAATAATTCAGGGAAGAAAGGATAGGCCTACTAAGTATTTCCATCCAACTTTATTTTTAGAAATGTACAAAATGAACATGCGTAAATATACATATATACACTGTATATCATCCATTCCTCCCCTTATAGGCGTTTTCGGCATCTTGCCTATCGCAGCTTTGTAAGCGGCTGCCGGGGCTTTTTAGGACGAGGCATCAGAGTGGTCATCCCGTGTGTGTATTGTCCGCCAGATACGCCAGGAGTTTCCTGATCTGGCTGGACGAAATCAAATGCAAATCACAAAATATTAGAGAAACTTAGATGTTTTAGATTCGTTAGTAGTAGTTGTGGTAGGAGTGTGTATCTATCTAATCTATCTAGCTAATCAACACAGTTAGCTTGCCAGCTAATATGCTAACCTACGTTTGCTAGTTGTTCAGTGTAATATGCCAATCTACTATGAACAACAGCTAGTCTAGGCTAGCAAGAACATGTTTACAATTGCAATCTTATACGGGTAGTCTGCTACGTTCGGTCATTCATTGTAGCTGGCATGAAAACAATGTTTTCCCTAGCATGTCTAGCTCTAGGTAGCCTTGTTGTTATGTAGCATACATTACATTACATTACATGTTACTTGTTAGACGCTTTTATCCAAAGCGACTTACATACTCAATACTGTGGGCAATCCCCACAGGAGAAATTTGGGGTGAAGTGTCTTGCCCAGGGACACAACGACATGCTGACTGCAGTGGGGTTTGAACCTGTGACCCCCTGATCCCAACACCAAGGCTCTATCCACTGCGCCACACACCTCCCATACACGCCTCGCATACACGCTATGAACGGTAGCTCAGTAGCATACACGCCAGGAACGCCAACTATAATGTACTGACCGTACGGTAAATCACCCGGAGTATACTGTCTATGAGTATTTCGTGTGTGATTGCAGACATTCTCCAGCTATGAGATACATGTAAGGCCATCTGCTAACATTGGAGTTGATATATGGAAACGCTAGCAACTTAGTTAGCCCAGTTAGCATTGCTCGCACACACACAGACACACACACTGCTGGAGGAGCAGACAGGCTTGGCGATAAAGCTAGAACAAGCGAAATTCATCCTGAGCACACACAAACACTCACAGCCGAAGTAAAAACAATAAGTGTGGCTTGATATTGAGTAAGAAAAAGGTTTATAACGCTGTGAGCATGGGTCCGAAAAACGTTTACCCATTTAAACAGTCGTGGTAGATACCTTGTTTGTTTTAAACATCATAAATACACAAACAACAATGAATACTTACAGGTTGTGTACCCGAACTCCCGCTGGTCCAAACAAAGTAGGAACAGCATCGTTCTTCAGTGCCCTACGCTGTACATATCCGGCATGAATCCTGAAAGGTTTGGGAAGCTTTGTTACGTGAAAGGCTGGCAGAGGGTGCGGCCATAGCTACTGGCCATTCCTACGTCACGATACCCAGGAAGTAAACAATGGAAAATGAGAAAGCTCCAGCGAAGATGACTTCCCGCGCATGGTTGCCATGGTTGCCCTTCTGTTTATTCTCTGCGGTGGACGCTCTGGCTCTTTTTCTCCCTCCCCGATGCAAGCGTGTGATCCTGCTGTAAATCTCTCCGGTAGTCCACCAGCAGATGAAAAACACCCACATCTCCACCTCTTCCAAGGGACGAGGGAACCGTGCGGCAGAGTTTCTGTTTTTTTTTTTTTTCGCTGGTCAACATGTCCGTTAAAGTTTAAATCTTCCAAAAAAAATTAGAAAAGTGCCGGTCAGAGGTCTTCTTTGTTATTTTTTTTAGCTTTAAAACAAATTGATAACGACTCTATATAATAATAATAAATGGAGCCTCTCTTTTCCTCCCCCTCTTCTGACAGCCCAGCAGCTGATCTCTGAGCACGAGAGGTGGGGAGAGGCGGGGCCATCGCTTAATCGTTATCAGAAACATTTGGCCCCCCAGAGCCAGGGGCGGACTGGCCATTGGGGATACCGGGAGTTTTCGCGGTGGGCCGGTTGTGAGGTGCTATGTTCCTTTTCACCTGCAATGCCTTGGTAACTGCATGCAAATTTCCGCATTTTAATTAGGCCTAGATAACGCCTAATTTGCATATCAATGTGGCGATTGTGATGACGTTATTAGATATACATTGTACTGTATTCACCTGTAGTGTCTCCCCTTAAGTACAGTAGGCCTACATTAGCCTGTATGCCCATGATAAATTGCCTTAGCTAAACCTTGAGCTAACTTATCCATTAGCTGTACCCTACTTTAACTATATTTGTTTTTGTCTTTTGGCTAATTAGCTGTAAACTCGAGGCACTAGCAGTTTAGTCATTTGTTCATTTGTTCATCTCCACTCACCTTCAAACAAGCCAAGAAAAGCCGGCATAACATGGGACTTTAAGGTGGGAGGTGCTGCTACCTGTCTGTCTGAAGTGACTGCCGATGACTGTCCGCACCGCTGTGCAGGAGACGTGGAGGGAGGGAGGGTAGAGGCTCAAGCCCACTTTGATGTCTATGTGTGCACGTGCCTGCCCCAGAGCGTTGCGTCCCCAGATCTACCCACCTTGGGACCCGTTATCGCTATCTGCGTTTCCCTGTTGGCCTTGTTTGGCCGAACCATCTATAAGATAGAGAACTGTAGCGGATACGACCGTTACCGTTCTCGTGTGGCTGATAGCTTTTAGAGAATATTATAGCCTGCAGTAGTTTATCTGGGAACCATAATATTCACATCATTTGCATTTCAATCATAAAAGAACCCTGTGAAGGTGTTTAACTGTGTGAGTGAGAACAAGGCCTTTCTAAAATATTCTCTCTAATCAAGTAGAAACTATAATGTAATTATCATATGGTTGATGTGGGGTTTCTGAGGCTGCAGCCACACGAGAACGGTAACGGTCGTATCCGCTACAGTTATCTATCATATAGACCAGTGGTTCTCAACTGGTGGGTCCCCAAAGTGGGTCGCGGACCCGTTTTGAGTGGGTCGCAGATGTGTGAGTGAAAAAAATAAATATAGAAATCATTGTTTAAATTTTTTATTTTTTTTGTGGAAAAAAGTCAAACTTTTATTTTGAAGGCCCGATTTTCTAACGCTGTGCATGCAGAATAAACAGAATGGCAAGCATGGCAAACATGCGTGGGAAGTCTTCTTCACTGCTTTTGGTGTATTTTGTGGCAGAAGTACAGCGCCACTTACAGGCCCGGCATATGTACTACAGCGTCTCCAGCGCTTTCGAGCGGTCTCGTGTGAACGGACACGTTTCTGGTGCCTATTGCGTGTGGACGGAATACTTTTTTGATATCGAATTCGGTTCATTCGCGTTACCGTTCTCGTGTGGCTCCAGTCTAAAGAAATTGCAAGACTTAGAGCCACTCTAATCTGTCGGGGAAACATTTTTCTCAGTGGGTAAAAAAAGCAATTAAAGAAATGACATTTTGATGAATGTAGTCTCTGTTAAACTAAATCCCATCTCTTCATTAAAACAACCTTTCCTTTTAGACCTTACACTTACTTTCTATTTCATTTTGGCAAACATACTTTGGTCTCTATGGCCTGAGGCAGACACGCCTGTAGTGGCCACACTGTTCCCTGGGGGCTGGCATGCTCCGCTGCATTTTGGTGCCCTTTCATTCAGAATACAAATATATAAACAGTATTGTTATGACTAAAACACCAAGCTTTGTAGCACTGTTTTCCATCTGTGCACAAACTTATCTCGATCTCGTGCCCTCATTGGTCATGTGCGCGTTCGTGTGTGTTGGAGGAGGGGCTCTGTAAGGAAGTGGCAGATTTTTTCCGGCTGTGTATTTTCAAATTCTAGCGCAGTCGAGCTGGTTTCTCCAAAATTACCTACCCCACCTTTAAGTTGTATTTAGTAAACAAAAAAAACCTTGTTATTTACTAAATTCATTTTGTGACTAAATCATTTGATTTGATTTCACATGGTTTAGAGGCAGGTATGTCAGGAGTATTTGGAAAACAAGTTAAAGGGAGGTTGTCAAAATGAGTGCTTTTCTTTGTTTTGACACATCTTAAAAAAGAATTGAAAGGAAAACAACATCAAGGTTACTCATTGTTTGCTGCTTGCTGGCACAAGCTGTTCAAGTTTTTCATTTGAATCCACAATAACAGGGCCACATGTCTATGCAAAGTTATTTTATATTACAAAGCAAAGTCAACCACTCAAGCTGGTTTCTCCAAAATTACCTACCCCACCTTTAAGTACATTTTGATGATAATATTTCTGTACTTTTATTATTCTCAATTCGGCCACAGTATTCTTTCTTTTTGATGGTAATACTTTTGTACTTTTACTTTAAAATCAGGACTGTTACTTGTAGTGAAGTATTTTAAGACCATAGTGTTTGTACTTTCACTTAAAGTGGACCTATCATGCTATATTTAAATGATATATTGTAGGGCCATACCTATATAAGGTATATTTATTCGTTTCTGTTTTCAAAATACCAAACAGATCATGCATTTTAGCCATGCCTCATTTCGCTCTATGTGCTGTTTGCTGTCTACGGGTCTGATTCTGCTGACCACGCCCCCCTGCAGGAGAGGGGAGACGTGCTCTGATCAGCTGCTGGGCTGTCAGAAGAGGGGGAGAAAAAGAGATCTCCGTCCTCCGTGTTTTATTATATAGAGTCGTTATTCATTTGTTTTAACCTGTTACGCACGGCCCCCCCGGTACCGGGCGGATAAACGCGTCATTTGCAGGAAACAACGTCTAAGGAATCTTAATATTTAATAAACTATGAATGTTTTATATCCATGTAACGGGAAGAAACTCAGCTAACTGATCTTTTTAATTTTTTTTTTTCAAAAAAAACCCCACAATGCTAACACTCAGCCTCTGAATTACCCACGAGCGAAAAAATGTAACCTAAAACGGCACCTAAACTCACAATAACTCCCTTATTACTTATCCTAGATGCACAGCCAACCACTCGTTTTGCATCAGCTGGAGACACAGAATCGTTTGGTGCCCACCTCAACACTCAGTGATAAACATTTGCGACGCTATAAACGAAAGCGTACATCATAACATGTGGAGCTAGGTAGCTAGAAACGCTAACATGGCTTACCTTGGTCAAAACTGGTCTTCAATGGCATTCAAACGATAAAAAAACGATGCTGCAGTTAATCCATAGGTTAATCCAATGTGTCTGTGTCCTCTTTGAAATTATTTCTGATAATCCATAAGCAATAAAACTGCTTTTTCGTTTCCAAATACCAGAGCTAGAGATAGGTCCACTCTGCTGCAAATGTACATGCGCGCAGCCCCCACCTTTTCTCTTCACAACGTGTGGCTCTAACGGTCAGAAAGAGGTGTCAACCATCCAAATCGACCAAGGGGGGCCAGAGATATGGAAAAAAAAACATTTTCACCCAAATTACCTCAGAGGTGGGGTGGTTTTGGCTAAACCTCTCTAAAAAGGTCAAATGTCACTTGTTTTGCATCAATCTTGATACAGGGTACTTATTATATGTTGTACTTTGGATTCCTAAAGCTTGTAGTCTACTAACCCATCATCCAAGGGTAGTTTTCACTATCTGTATATATGTATATAACCCTTTTAGAAGTTAAGTTGTAGTCATTTGTTTTGGGCATGTCATTTTCGAGCCTGAAACATGAAAAACAGGCTTGGTGCTTAACAGGTTAAAGCTCAATAAATAACAAAGAAAACCTTTGACCGGCACTATTCTAATTTTGTCCGGAAGATTTAAACTTTAATGGCGAAACAAACTGAAACTGAAACTCTGCCGCACGGTCCCCTCGTTCCTTGGAAGAGGCGGAGAGGTAGGTGTTTGTCATCTGCTGGTGGACTAACCGGAGAGAATTACAGTGCTTGCCTCGACGGGGAGGGATTGCATTGCAGCGGGAGCAAACGCTTGCCTCGGGTATAGGAGAAAAAAAGCCACAGCGGAGAATAAACAGAAGGGTAACCATGGTAACTATGGGCGGGAAGTCTTCTTCGCTGCTTTTGTGGCAGACTACAGCGCCACTTACAGGCCTGGCATATGTACTACAGCGTCTCCAGCGCTTTCGAGCGGCAATGGCCGGCCGTGGCCCAACCCCACATTCCCCTGATAGGTGGAGAGTTGGCCCCTAATCGATCTGTTGTTTTGTCTGTCTGACTTTTGTTTTGTTATGTTTGTTTTTGCCCTATTACTTGTAAAGCGACCTTGGGTCACTTGAAAGGTGCTATATAAATCCAAGCTATTATTATTATTATTAATAGCCGTAGCGCCACCGTCCTGACGTCAGTAACGTGTTCAAATCTGGATCAGTTTTTATCAGATCCGTTGCAGCCCCTTTTTTAGAGATTTGGGTATGGAGGAAAATAGAGAGGGTTGTGTTTTCTGACACTTGGTGAGTTCCCTGGAACACCGGGGACACATATTCATGTATAAAAGACGTACAAAAGTGCATTTTGCATGATAGGTCCCCTTTAAGTAATATATCTGAATACTACTTCCAACCAGGGTGTCTGTTAGCCGGTAATTACCGGTTTTTAGCTGGTAAAATGTATTCAAAACCGGTAAATTCAAAACCTGCAAAATGTCCGGTAATAATTAGGGATGCTCCGATCGATTGGCCACCGATCATTATCGACCGATATTCACTCTTAATAGTTTGATCGGTGCTCTCTATAAAGGCCGATCAGGAGAGCTGGATCTGATCGATATGGACATAAACACGAGTGAAGTATAACCGGACGCGAGAGAGAGATCAGCTGCTGAGTCTGACGGAGACACGCAGGTCTGATCACCTGAAGCCCCGCCCACTGTTTAGCGAGCTGCATGAGAAACTGACGGAGAGAGAGAGAGAGAGAGAGAGAGAGAGAGAGAGAGACGATGAGACGAGCAGAGAGAGAGGAGAGACGAGAGAGAGGAGAGAGAGACTGGAGAGAGAGAGGGAGAGAGAGAGAGAGAGAGAGAGGAGAGAGAGAGGAGACGAGAGAGAGAGAGAGAGAGAGAGAGAGAGAGAGAGAGAGAGAGAGAGAGAGAGAGAGAGAGGGGAAAGAGAGGATCCGTTTCTCCCGTGTTATTATCCGGTAAACTTTTGAATAATGTACTTTATCTACTATAAGTAGTTTGTTTGAATGTAATAATTATGTTGTTTGTTATTTGTGGAAGCGCATCATTTATTGAAAAATTAATCTGAACTTTTCGATCTGTTACGATTATAAACTGAAGCAATATAAAAATGAAAACATCAGTAGGCTATACATTAGCATATCCGGTCATAGTCCGGTAATTACCTGCTAACGGAAACTCTGATACACAATTCTCATTATTATTATTGAAACATGACCGGTAAGTTTCAAATTTGTCCGGTAAAATAAATTATTTCCGGACACTTGACCGGCAAGAAAAAAATCCTAGCGGAAACCCTGCTTCCAACAATGGCCCTCATAAGAATCCCAAACGGACCCAAGACTTTTGTTGATGGTCACAATAGTCTTCCAGACACAAAGAATCCGCCCCCTTTCGGCCAATTCAGAGAGCACCAGCCAATCAGCAGCCTCTGCTCATTGTGTACAAACAGAGCCTCGTGCGCCCTGCAGCCTTTAAATAGCCCTGCAGGAGAAGTGATGACCAGAGCACATCAGAGGAACACAGCAACAGCAGCCACTACACAAAAACCTAAGTAAAAACTAAAGAATGGATCCCATCAGATGCAGAGAGTCAGTTTGCAGGAGTCTGTTTGGCCCGGTGGACCGAGAGCAGCTGCGCCGGGAACTGACGCTGAAGATGAGGGAGATCACGGAGCAGGACAGCCGCCGCTGGAACTTTAACTTCCAGACGGAGACTCCGCTGCAGGGCAGGTTTCAGTGGGAGGAGATCCCCGCAGAGTCCACAGCTAATGTCTACCAGGAGTCCGAGCAGCAGAGAAGGGATGTTTGTTCTGCACACACTGAGGAAGAAGAGGAGAGGCTGAGCGCAGGGGCCGACCAGGAGAACTGCTCCAGGGTCTCCAACACACGGAAGTGTCCCGCAGAGGGGACGCCCGTCCGGAGGAAGAGGACGCTCTCAAAGTCTGCAGCCAAGCCCAGGAGCAATGCACGAATTACAGGTGAGGATCAAGCCCTGCCGATCCATAAGTGTAGCCTACTATTTAAGCTGTAACACAAGTTTATTCTGATAATTCTGGTCTTTTTAAGTGAGTAAACGTGTTTTTCTTTCCTGACAGATTTCTTCGCAAAAAGAAGGAGGACCACAGAAACCAAGAGCATCCTCAGTCCTTTCCACACAAGTTCCAGTGAAGCTGCTCTGTGCAAAACGATAAGATGATCATGCTTCTGGAATAATGGACTCTTTTATATGTATACCTAATGGATTGGATCAAAGCCCATTCACTGCACCAAAGGATTTTATGTTATGTTATTTTATTACTTCGTTTTATTTTATTGCCAATTTGAGTGTGAACCATGGTTAAATTATACCACTTTCTGTTATTTATTCTATTTATGAACTTTTTATTTAACGACTTTGCTTTTTTATGTTTCATTTCGCAAATATGTCTGTTCAAAGATTTCTCATTTGCATTATTATGTGAGAAAGTACATTTGTACGACTGACTGATCCTTTGTTTCTGTACGTTTCATTTCTTTCTCAATCTTGTTGGTGGATTGTTGTATTATGACGTGCTAAATGGAACAGCACTGTTTTGTCCTTGTCATGTTTGCCTAGATTAACTGAGAATGTAAAGCCTACAAATATTGCAATGTTAAATAAACTATGTTTTTAATGACACTATTTCGGATTGAGGGATTATTATATATCCTGTCTCCCTGGAGGATCTGCACTTTTCAGATAAAGCACATTTAACATATTCAGACAAAGACCCAATTATCTACTGTCCATATTAATTTGGTGTTAAATGCTTATACATTTACACACTCTAAAAAACTGGTTTATATTTTGTAACTTGGGCAAAAAGTATCTCGGAAAACTTCGTAATTAGTTTTCCAAACAATGCCTCACAACTCTTTAGTCATGATTTAGATTTGTCTATCTGAAGCTTCCAAATGAACTGTGCCTTGCAGAACTGCACATAGTTTGGAATGTAAAACAATGATTTATATAATATACTAAACAAGGTATAATTATAACAAACTGTGCATTTGCATTGCAATTTTGAGTTGAGACACAAACCTATTTGGAAATCCTTTACACTTTTAAAAATGTCTGTCAAACATCTTGCAAGCCATATTAATTGGAAACGAAAATGAAATGAAAGTGTGTTTTGAGTAATAAACAGTATTTTTAAATGCACTTTCAGGCTTTAAGAGTACAAACAAACACTTTACCCAAAAGCTGCTGTCATAACTCACTATGGTAAAAAAAAAAAAAAACCCTGGAGTTCAATAATTTTATAGATTTGTGAACTGAATTTCAAATGATTCGTTTTTCAATTTGACTGCAGTCTTATGAGAAAGTAAATCTTTGGTTTTATGCTGACTTTGTGGCAGCCACGGTTGAATAAGCTTATAATAAGTATGCCTCTAAAGCCATAGAAAAATCAATTCATGTTGCAAGTTTGGCAATCGAAGGAAGAAAAAAACCTTTTGGAGTAATTGCATTTTCTGGGCTGTATTATGAGATGTTTCATAATCACAAAATTATAAGGACTGTGCTGTCAGGCTTGAAATTATATCCGTTAATATGAGCTGTAACTGCCAAATTAGCCCATTAAAGAGGCCAAATCCCACAGAGGCGTATTCCCTCCCACAGTGTTGGGGTATCAGCTCTAAAGAAATAGGAGAGGCCATCTGGCCGCAGAGCAGAACAATGGCCACAAAGCAGAGTGTGCCATCCATTTCACCTGCAAATCAGCCCTTAGAGCTCCCTGACCCCCCAGGTCTCCCCTCAACTCCCCTCTTTTCACTCCATCTCTTTTCATAGTCAATCACCTATTATCACTGACATGTGCCCAAACCAATGCCACTAATGTTTATTCTGACTTTGGCTCATGTTTACTTGTGTATTCTCCTGCATGAAGCAAGCATAAAATAAACATCATTTACATTTTTAAATGCTTTAATGCCAAGGAGAGTCAATGTTAAGTGTGTTATTTCTGCATTAGGAACAGATGATCTTACATAATGCACCACTGGATTCATGTTACCAGTCAAGAAATCAATAATGTAACCATCCCTTGGGTGCAAAGTATCTCATGGGATCCCAATCTCTCCGCCCAACTCCTTCATTAGATTCATTAAAAGATGCACATTACAAGCTGCTAGTACATTATCAGTGAATGAAGCTTTCCCTAGTGCAGGGTTTGTGTCAATTAATGCAGTCATATTGCTGAATGATTTAAACCTGTACTCTGTATAGGTTCAAAAACTGATATAAAACCTAAGCTATTGTACTAATTTCCTTTTGTTCCATATATAGAAGAAGCTAAATGAGAAGAATGATTACGTTTTGCAACTCCAACAGTGACCTTTTTTTTTTTTTACATTTCCTCAAGTTGATAAATGAGCACTCAGCGTTTTAAGAAATACACAGTTTTAAAACGTAAAGTCAAAATAACTCTAAAAATAATTTAGTATGTTGCTACATTTTAAGCTTTGTACCTTATGATTCAGAAAGTTGCAACTCAGTATGCAGAGTAAGCCTTGGTTGGAAATATTCTTCTTCAACTAAAGTTATTTAGCCAGAGCAGTAAAGCTCTGTTGTTGTTTTCATGAATTGAGCATTTACATTTTTTTGTGTTTATGACTGTTGACTGATGCGGTCTTTGTTGTGGTTCTTTTAAAACCTCTACACCCTCCCTGTAGTGAATCTCTGCCCTCCCTCAGCTCCTGAGTAGCACAAAGGCCATCCACCCTCAGCACACTTTAGGAGGGTGGGGTCCATTGTTGCGGACACCAGAGGCAGATGGTCACTTGGGCCTTTTCTCCTCATGGCCACTTGTGTAAAGGAATTCCTGGACACCCCATGGATGGCCAGCGAGGAAAAGGTCACCATCTGCTGCCCAAAGATCACCCGTGCAAAGGGCATGGTGTTAGCCATGGTGTTAGCTATCTCCATAAGTCAGCGGAGACAAAGCCACCCCCACATCAAAACAATAAAATTAATTCTGCTGCCTGCCACTATCAGAGATACACTGATTTTAGGGAGACAGTACCTTGAATCAGTTTGATAGATGACTGAGGAGAAGAGAAACTGCAAAAACCTTCACTTTTTAATATGAAAAATTACTTTTTGCTTGTATCAAACCACCTCTGGCAGAAAGACAAACTCTCCCTGGTAACTGAAATATTTAGCTCATTTGTTTTAGTCAGAGATTCCTCGCCTGAAGGCACCAGACACAACACAAAGACACTTGTTAATAATAACTACAATCTTTTATTGCTACAGAAGAATATTTCTAAATATTACAAATGTGAAAACAACATCTGATTACATTGAAAGTCAAGGTTTGAAATGTAAGGCGTTGTTCAAATAAAATTAAATCAAATCAGGTTTTATTTATAGAGCACATTTAAAAACGATTTTTGGTCGTGCCAAAGTGCTGTAGCCTACATGTAATAAAAACACTTTACTACAATAGCAACAGAAGACAATCATTTACAACAGCAAATATAAAAACAAAACACAGGGAAATGTCAGGAGTCGTACTCAGCTCTGTCTAGAAGGCCAGAGAGCAGAAGTGAGTCTTCAGGGAGGATTTAAAAACCCCTAGGGTCTGGGCCGACCTCACATGCAGGGGCAGACTGTTGTTCATAAGATATGATTTATATCGTATTTTATTCCACAAGAATACAGCATATTGAATTATAGTACACGATGCTGTAGCAGGGGCAAGTGTTTGGCATTACTGTAACTCAGAGATGGAGTACTCGAGTCCTGGACTCAGACTTGAGTCGGACTCGAGTGCCTGGACTCGGACTCGAGTCGGACTTGAGTGCCGATGCGGACTCGTGAATTTTTAACCCACTCTGACTCGGACTCGTGAATTTTTAACCCACTCTGACTCGGACTCGTGAATGTTTCAGAGTCCCGATCTTATTACTATCAAAATAAAAGTGCAAAACTAAAACTTTACCATAGGAAAATATTGGCATACAAATATAATCACTTCTCTAAAAGGTAACTCATTTTAAATATAGTTAGACATATTAAAGGTAATTTACAATAATACAAATAATAATAATAATAATAATAATAATAATAATATTAATATTAGTAATAAGCTTTATATTTGTACAGCACTTTTTATACAAAAATTGTAGCCAAACTCGCTTCACAGCAGTTCAATAGACACATTAGTATAACATGACAGGATAAAAGCAATGTAGAGGAGCAGCTACATTTCAATAAATGTATCCACGAAGATTAATACATTAAGACTTGTGACTCTGACTTGACTTGGACTCTTCTTGGGTGACTCGGACTTGGACTCGGACACAGGTAATGATGACTCGGACTCGACTCGGACACTCCTTGGGTGACTCGGACTTGGACTCTGACTCTCCCTAGGTGACTCTGACTTGGACTCGGACTCGAAAAGTGGGGACTCGAGTGTGACTTGGACTCGTGAATTGGTGACTTGACTACAACACTGCTGTAACCTGAATAAATGTTAAGTTATATATTTTTTTAAATCCTACAAGGAAATCATATCTTAAAGAAAAGATGGGAAACTAATGCTTACACAACATGTTGAAAATAATTGTTGAGATGTCAATAATGGATTGAATGAATTGTTACTATCATTGTGCCAACATTCAGCAAAGCTGCTAGATATATAGATAAAGGCACAGAGTAATATGACAAGGTGAGACTGGGTCAAATCTTGGACCTGAGAGTTGGGGGTGGGCAGGCCCACAAGGCCAAAGTGGGAGTGGCCTCCAGTACATTACATTCAGTGTCAATAAACAGCAGTTTGCTCTATAAAGTTACGTTTTTTGCTGAATGTTACCGCTTTGCATTACGGCTAAGCTGAGGTGTTTATCAACAAGTAGGTCAAGACTTCCTTTTCCGTGCTTGGCTCATTATTTGTCTGAAACGCATTCTAAGTCAATAGAAGTACGTTTACAAGCACATTTTAAGCTAACAAAAAGAAAAATCATTGTCAAACAATTAATGATTAGTCAACATTTGCATTCCTTCTCTTTGCTCTACACACAAACGGTTTACTTTCATTAAACTAAAAGCCGCTCTAACACGATTGGCCAACACATTTCCGACCATAACCAGAAACCACAACACTTTGGATACCACTATCTTTTCATGCTTCCTACAGATTCTCCATCAATATGCATTTATTGCCTAAGTGCTACAGTTGTCAGTATCTCTGTTGTGTTGAGTGCAATAAGTGCAGTTAGAGTTAAGGG